TCAGTTTACACGGCGTTCCGTTGACTTCGCCCTTGATGATTAGGCTGTTCCCATCATGGGTTTGTGAGATTGAAATCCTTGGGGCTCTTTTAACATCAGCCAGCACCCGCCAGTTTCCCTGCTGCTGCTGGGCGGTGCTGTCAGCCACACTACCCTCTCGATATCGATCACCTTCCCTTTCTACAGTTCGTTTAGGGCAGCTGGATCGAAGATGGCCCCTTTCCCCACAGCCGTAGCACCTAGGGCTGTAGCCCTTATTGCGGTCCTGAACTGTAGCTGCTGCAACCTCCCTGACACGGTGGGAACGATGATCCTGCCGCACGGCTTCCACCTCCAGTGCATGGGTCAAGGCGTCCTTAAGCGTCTCGTGGTGCCCGAGCCTCACAGCAGCTCTGACTTCAAGGTCGCGGATGCCGTCGATGAATGTCTGCACCAGGTTCCCTACAATGAGCGCAGGTACAGACTGGTATGCTTTTCGAACCAGCTTTTCCACCTCAAGGGCCCATTGCTGCAGGTTTTCGTTACTGCGTTGCACGCGATCTTTGAGCTGCGCACGAAAGACGTGTTCCAGGTGAACATCGCCATATCTCGCCTCCAATGCCTCAAGGAGCTGCACGTAAGTCACTTCCTTACCGAGAGCTTCCAGAATAGTTAAGGCCTGGTCGCGTAGGTCTAGGGTGAGAGCAGTCATGGCCTGACTTTTATTCCAGCCGTTCGCTTTCATGACAGCCTCGAACTGGATTTTGTAGGCCGACCAGGAAGAACTCCCGTCGAACGGCGGCACTTTGAATCCACGTAGCGAAGGTGTTGTAGCTACCACGGGAACTGTATCTCCTTCTCCATGTTTGAGGTCTTCCAGCGTTTTCTTCACGTCAGCCATCACGTTGTCAACTTGGTCGATTCGGGTTTCAGCCGCAGACAGCCGGTTGTCATATAGAGCAACCTTATCCTTCAACTCCTTTATCTCTTTCCCGAAGGTAGCGTAAAGGTCCTTCATGAGGGGCATCTGCTCTTCCTTATCACGTTTGAGCTGCTCTTCCAACTGGCGGCCCTGTTCCTCTTGTCCACGCTGCAGCTGCTCTTCCAACCGACGGGCCTGTTCCTCTTGTCGGCGGGCTTGCTCCTGCAGCATCATCATCAGAACACCTAAGTCAGGTGCTGCAGATACAGGAGCTGCTGACGGCCCGGCCTCCTCGGTCCGCAGCTGGCCCTCCGACGTTTGCGGCGATGCATTACCAAATCGTGGCTGGTCCGTCTCCAGCTGGCGTTGACTTCGAGTACGGATACCCTCCATGTCGTCCTTTGGTAAAATCGGCATGATTTGATCCCACTTCTGACACCAATTGTTACGAGCTTGGGGTTCGAGACAATTAAAAACTGCCGATTGAATTACCAATATTGACACTTTAATTACACAACACTAATTACAATCTAAAATCACACTAATAATAAAACACAGTTCGCCGTTATTTCGCTTCGAAGTATTCTCTTGTATCGCCAATTCAATACTGCCTTGGTCGTGGTCCATACCGGCCTTATATAGGGCCTCAGACAGTTTCCAGAACCTTCCACTGTAGCGACATCTAGAATGTTCGAGTACATATCGGTCCCGAAATTTCTGGAAGGATCTCGACTCTCCTAGTTCTGCTACTCGACACTAGAGGGCGCTAGTGTAACTAGTGTTGCCATGTACAAGACATTAATAGTGGCGCGCAACACTTTCTTTTACTCGACACTAGAGGGCGCTAGTGTAACTAGTGTTGCCATGTACAAGACATTAATAGTGTAACGCGTAACAATAATATCGTAACCGAGACAAAACCGTACAAGAGAGATAGATCAGAGGCCGTTTGACTCTTTTTCTCAATTGCCATGGGATAAAATGTTCACTATAGTATAAAATATTTCACTAACTATAAGTCTTGTAAGCTGGTTAAATAACAGTTCAAAATCCTTCCAGAATGGCGCTAGCGTAGATATAGAGTATTGTATAAATTAGCAGTTGTAGATGGGTTGAAAAGTGTTGAGTTGAAAAATTTAATATTATTAAGTGTTTGTATGGTAATAAAAAAAAATTCAAACGTCTTTATGATTTATTCTAATAATATTTTCATCCATAAATTGACACTAGTGAATTTTTGTTTATCATTTTGTTTTTATACGAAAATTTATTAATTTAAAAATTAAATTACACTGCTGCTGTAATAGCGCCAAGCGCCAGGTAGTCCTCCTTACCTCAACTATCCATAGTTACGGAGTTGCGGACACGTGCAAAACCATTATCAGTTTTAGATTTTTTTTTATACTGCTTGTAACTATGAAAATGGTAAAAAAGTGTTTCATCAAGACATGTAAAAGTGAATCATATTGTAGGTGTGGCAAATCATTTCACAGGTAAGCATTAAATTAACAAAGTTTTTGTTTGCTAACATTGGTGAGAGTGTCCATGCTTTAGATGTTTTATAGACGAATAGTAAAAATAATATCACAAACACACGAAATCTCTTGTGTTTTCACAAGAGGTTTCGTGTATTTGTGATAAAAATTAATAATATTGTGCTTCTAATAATTACTACTTGGACATTTGTTTACTATATATAAATAAAAGAACAATTTTATTTTTATATTTGTTACAGCTTTCCGTCGAAAGAAGAAATGAAGCAAAAATGGTTAGACGTCATTCCCGTATCTCAAAAGATAAACAAAAATTCGGCTATGTGCAGCCTTCATTATAAGCCGGCAGACTATTATCCCCTAGCAAGAGGAGCCTCACTTCGAAAGCAGGGGCCGGGGTGCCTCGAGACTGCAGTCGGCGACGCGGCGTTTCGTGCCGCCTCGCCGCCAGCAGAATTGTTGCACTCAATAGCTCGTAGGTCGCTTATGAGTCTATTCCGATATAGCTGTAAGGGCCGCAGGGCCAACAGCATACACTTTCAGAAAAAAAATAATGTAAGCTCCAGATGAATTTTAAACGCCAATTCAGTACTATCCATATTTCCAGTTGTAAGCATTAAGTATTCATCGCTTTGATTTACTGGGTGCTTTGTTAAAAGTAAAGTTATAATTTACTCTGAGATGATGTGTAGTCCTAAGCTATGTGTATGTCTGGTATTGGGTTAGGTTTATTCTCCAACTCAGGGAATAGGCGTAAGCCTTTCCTACGACACTTATCCGTCAACTGAGATGAGACGAAATAGTTTTCTCTGTAGGAGATAAATTAATAGTATACAAAATAGATAGGTATTGATTGATCAAAATTAATAGAATTTACATTTCAATAATGTATTTTTTAGATGAAGAATAAATAAGTTAGTAAGTGTTGTACTGAGTGATATTTTTGTTCCATCTCGATTCATTGTTGATTCAACCCCTTCTACATCTCAAGGTGTATCTTTGGAACCTATAGAATTATGTTCACCACGCCCTTCTACAAGCTCATAGGACCAACCTATTTTGGTATTCGGTTTGCAGAAAAAAGTCAATTATGTTGCAATCTACTTGCTTGCCAAATACAGCCATGCCTTTTAACATATACACATAGTAACTAGCATGTACAGGCTTGTGTATTCCTGCCTCCACTTTATATCCTACATCGATATAGAACAGAACACTGTCAAACAAAAATTATTGAACACTACATAGTCTAATGTTAAATAAAGTGATAATTAACATTTGACTTTGTATTAACTGGACAGAAATAACTCACCTTTCAGAGCGACCTTTCCTATGTGTAATAAAAAGCTTGATCACCTTGCTAGAAAGAGATAAATAACTCCGGTAATACCACGGAATATAAAAAACAGGTTTTTTATATTTTTTATATTATCTTTTATATTTTTTATATCCCTATCGACTTGTTTTTTTTTTTTTGTTAGAGTACTCAGTCCTGTTTTTATATGAAGAAATTAGGAAGAATGAAGAATGAAAAACGTATCCTAACCCTGAGAACGTTGTAATTTTCCTTATAAGTATGGGTTTTTTGTTATTTGGTGCAAGTGAATAAGTTTAAAAGAACTGGAATAAGTGGAAAAGGACTGCTCAAAAAAGCCTCTTTGAATTAAAGGGAGGTAATTAGCCTAGCTGTGGAACTATTTATATTTAGTTTTTAACTTGATTTTTATGTGATTCCAGTTTTAGTTCACATTAGCTTTTGGAATATTTTTAGTCTTTACTTAGTATTATGATTTATGAGACTTAAGTAAGATAAACTTCAGAATTAAGTCTGCTTAAACTTCTGTTTGAAATCTAAATAAAACTTTGTTTTTGTATGAGTAGCATACTTATAGTCATAAAATAACAATAATATTTTATTTTTAGTTTTTACTATTGCAGCATTAAGTATTACGTTTTTTAACGTATTAGTTTTGTTATTATATTATCGTTAAAATTATTTAAATGACTGAAACTGAAACGTGTACTTATCGTTTCATTAAAAATGGATTAATATAAATAAAAAGGTCGTAAAAACCATTAAACCGAATTATTCTGTAAAAGAAGTATCCTGTATGACATCATGATTTGTGACATAAAAAACCTAGCGTCAACTGTCAACGTCGATGGTCGACCAAAGAGTAAATAAAACGTCGACCATCCCTCACCCCTCCTCATCCCCATTCTCCAAATTCCGATTCATCTTGTCATATCTGTTACAAACTTAAATAATTTTCATTTCTTAAATTATTTTCATTTAAGTTTTGGTTTGTATAAAGTATAATTTTATATAACAATTGGTGTCATAACTCTACTGTACTGGTAAGTTCATATATATCCTACATTTTTATAATGTAGCACATGTCAGTAAGATTTAAATTTAAAATGTTCTTATTGTTATCTAAATAATGCCCTATTTATTACAGATTGCCCTAAATTCTTCTTTGAGGCTTCAGGCCTCGGCCTGTAGCCGGTGCTATACATTAGACCATACAAGCATCAATTAAAAACCGAGCAGTGTCGTGTCGACCAACTACAACTAACGTTGCATTTCACAATATTTTATAAAGATGTCTCATTGGAATAACTCATACGCTTATAACAACCAGTTCCAAGGAGCGCCCAATACATGGAATAGTGATTTAAGTGGGCAATATGTAAACCAACAATATTATGGAAACAGACAATTTGAGTCAAACAATCAGTATGTCAGTTTTGAAGAATTTTTAACTCAAATGCAGGGTAATAGTGTTCCACAGAATAATGCTTCTAACTATAATAATGTACAGTACCAGGCATATCCCAATAATCAATATAGTTATCAAAATGTACCCTCACAAAACAGTCAAATGGATTTTAACTATGGTCCTAGCTCATCCAATGCCAGTAACAATATAGATACTTACCAAGTCAATGTTCAAAATCATTTCAACCCAGTCTTAACTGATCCAAGTTCTTATTCAAATGAAGTTGTGATTAAATCTAAGCTCACACCAACTGCAACTGAATTTGTGCCAAAAAGCTCTATGAATTTGCCATCTACCAGTACTCAAAGTGCTTCATCACAGGTGTCAGATACATCCAATGGTGTAAGCGAATCAAAAACTAATAATTCAAAATCATCTGAAAGTAATTGGAGAGAAAGGCCAAGTAATTCACACTGTGAAGCTACAAATTCTCAAACTGATATAAACAATTTTAGTCGTTATCAAAAGAAGTATAAAAACCCAGAAAACACCACCAGGAACTCAAATGGCCGTAACATTGAAAATAATAAACGTAACAATGAATCTAATCAAGATGCCAATAATCGTTATCATAACAGCAATAACCATTACATAGATTCTTCCGTTCAAAACCAAGAATCAGAAAGTCAAAACACAGAATCCCATTCTAACCAAAATGATAGAAATTATGACTCTGGAAACCACATGTATGAATCTAAAAAATCTAATAACGATACCTATCCATCAAAGTCAAATTATAAAACAAAAAATAAAGAACCAGAGGCATGTAGAACTTTTTACAATAGTACTATAAATAAAAGCAGCCAAGATGTTAGAAATGGTAGAGGAGAAAGTTCTGGAAGGCAGAAAAACTGGGTAGGAAGCCAACGGGTACGAACAGTAGATCGTAATGTTGTTGAAGATGTACAATATGCTAATACTTACATGCAATATAAAGATGAAAGAGTAGAGAGAGTGACAAAAAGTGAAAAGACTGCTAGTCCTAATAGGGGAAGAAATAAGATTGTCACTGAATTAGTAGGTATGAAAACATTTTTATCAATATTTTCTTACCAGCCATAATAACTCAGAGGTATGAAGGGATATTCTTATTTAATTTTATGGTATGTAAGCAAGTCATTTTACTGCAGGTGTTGTAAGAGGCATTAATTATGCAAATTTCACATTACCAACATTAATAATTTCATAAATTTTAGTCAGATGTTTTAATAAGGCACAGAAAGAGATAAAAATGTTCTTATTATCTAACTTTGTCACAATTAGAAAAAAATATGCAAGATAAATTTAGAAGCATGTATATGTGTGATAATAATGAAGGTCAGTCAGAAGTCAGAAGGTTTAATTTTCTTTACACTACATAAAATGTGGCTTAAATTTACTATCTAAAATAACATAAGATTAAATAAAGCAGTAAAAAACTGGAAACAAGTAATCTATATATATAGTCAAAAGTTGTTCTTTTAAACCTCACCAGCTGTGTTCCGCATGCCCTTATTTTCAGAAACCTTTCATTATAGATTTCATATATTTATGCGAACACTACACATTTAATTAAAACTAGTTTTGACGGTTTCTATGGCATATATTAACTTATTTTATATTCCTGACATTTCAAGCGCTACAGCACCCATGGTCACGGGGGGGGGGACTCTCCCCCTAAAAACTAATACTATTTCATTGTATTCAATTAATGACATAGGAACACATAGAAAAATTAATTTTTTTGGGAAAAACCTATTGGGGGCACCCATTCGAGACTACTAAAGTATCATTAAAATCAGATTTACTATATGCATAGAAGACGACTCAAACAAACAAATATTCATTTTTATAATAAATTATCTTTCCAAAGTTTGGTGTTCAAACTACCCTAGAATACTAGCTGTTTCCCGCGACTACGCCTGCATGGAATTTGTTACGATTGGATTTCATGGGTTTTAATTTTTGTGCACAGAACCCTAATTCTTTTACTAAAATAAAAGTAGCCTAAGTTACTCCTCATAACATCAGCTATCTGACAGTGAAAATCCCGTCAAAATCAGTCCAGCCGTTTAGGAGATTAGCCGGAACAGACAGACAAAAAATAAAAATTGTTTTTTTGTTATAATTACCCTAAATACTTTCATATGCATTTAGTAAAAAGCTGTTATATTGACATTACAAACAAACACTTCAATTTTATTTTTATGTTTAAAAAATGAATAAAAAGCTACTTGACACTAAATTTTGATTTCAGGTAACTCAGCAATGACCCAACGTGAACGTTTGAGTGAGCAATTAGACAAGGGCACTTTAGAATGCCTGGTGTGCTGTGAAAGGGTCAAACAAATTGATTCAGTCTGGTGGTGCTCCAATTGTTACCATGTCTTACATCTTAGATGTATCAGGAAATGGGCTATGAGTAGTTTAGTTGGTAAGTTTTTTGTATTATTTGTATTTTGCAGTGGAAGTCTGCCTGGTTGATTTAAACCACAAAAAAAAGTTCAATAACCATCCACGAAAAACCATAAGAAACCATAAACTGCTTAGAACACCATATTACAATCGTGCCCAATACTTCTTATTTATGTAAATAATTAAAAAAATATATAATTTATGTTTGTAATAACAATAATGAGTAAAGAACTCAATTGTCCCATATTCTGTAAGACAGTCTACTTTTTTTTTTAGTTTAATATTAATTATTGTAAGCACTATAAATTCAACTGTAAGTTTAAGGTTAGAATACCTTTATTATTAGCAAAATAGTCTTGCAAAAATTCTAATGTACCCTGCATGTGTATTCTTTATAAAATAAGGCTGCACACATGATTCTGATAAGTTTTATGAGTGGAAAAGTTGAAACCTTGTATGCATTGCCTATTAAAAAATTGCAATGCAAATTTTTTTATGACATCACATGATTGATTTGGATGACATGGACATGGACATGGATTAACTGTTTCATAATATGAGGGGTGATGCAAAAGTAATGATAATGAATATTAAACACAGTGATTACAGTTTCCTTTTTTCTAAACCCAGAATTCCCTAAATTTTTTATCATGACCCTCCAAAAAAGTCGAAGAAATAGAAGTCACTGGGAGCTAGATCTGGTGAATAGGGCGAGTGTTCAAGCAGTTCAAATCCTATTTCTTGATGGCAGCCATTGCAACTGTGGCTGTGTGAGCCGGAGTGTTGTCCTGGTCAAACAGCACTCCAGGTTGCAGTTTGCCGTGTCTTTATTCCTTAATAACCTCCCACACTCATCTTATTTGGTCTGCGTAGTAAGAGCCCGAAATAGTGGCTCCCTTTTCCAAATATTGCCCCATAATTATTCCTTCAGTGTCCCAAAAAACGGACGCCATAAGCTTTCGCGCCGAACTTGACACTATGAATTTCTTTGGCGTCGTTGAGGAGGCTCGTTTCCAAACCATTATTGTTGTTTGGTTTCAGGATCTTATTGGTGAATCCAGGCCTTGTCCATGGTTGTGAAACATGACAAAAAAAATCCTGATGTACTTAGAACCTTTCGAGATTCACCCTCAAAATGTCGACTCCTTTTTTCATTTGCTTGTCGGTTAACATTCTCGGTACCCAATGCGCAGAGATTTTTTTCATATGCAATTTGTTGGCAAGGATTCTTTGAAAACTGCCATATGAGATCCCTGTGACCTCAGCTATATTCCTGATGGTCACTCTTCAATCTGTCAATACGACATCTTCGACTTTTTCACGTTATGTTCAGTGAGGCACGTTGATGTGCGTCCTTCGCGATATTCATCTTCCGTGGACGTTCTGCTCAGCTTAAACTCCTTGGCCCAGCATGCAACTATGGAATATGGAGGAGCAGAGTCCCCCAATGTTTCCACCAAGACGCTATGTATGTCTTTGGTAGACATTATTTTTAAACAGCGGTACTTGATGACAGCTCTAATTTCGTTTTTCTCCATTTTGGTGTTATGGCACTGTCCATGGTTTTGCTTTTATTGATTGTGACTTGCTGCAATTGTTTGTAACTTTTACCTGTTTTTTGCGTTACAGAAGGTAAATGGCGATGCCCAGCTTGTCAGAACACAAATGAAGAGATTCCTATGGAATACCGTTGTATGTGTGGTGCGGTCCGATCACCTGAGTACTCACGTGGCGCAGTAGGAGCCCATACATGTGGTAAAGCCTGTCGCAGACCGAGGAGCTGCCCACATCCTTGCACACTGCTATGCCACCCTGGCCCATGTCCTCCTTGTCAAGCTACTATCAGCAAGTGAGTTAAGGTTGAAGTTCATAAATAAGATTTTTTTGCATTAACATAACACAATATGTACAGAAATATAGTTATTACACTGTATGTAATAAAAAATGTTGGAACACGCATATTAAGATGGTAGACAAACTGGAATAGCATTTCCATGCCTTATTACTCAGAATGGGTTTGTAATACCACTCCTCCATCCTGATTTCGATGGGGGCAAATTTGTTCCTTGTTATGCGCTAAAAATTCTAATTCCGTTGGTTAACCTATATCAGTGTACTTCACTCAAGAAATATTCCTAGACAACTAAAGCTCTCCCTCGCTTAACACATTAACCAGATATTACATTACTGTCACTGACACAGGTGGGGTTTTGATTCTTTTATACATATTATATACTAGCTGTTCCCCGCGACTTCGCCCGCGTGTTATTTGGCGTTTTAATTTTTTGCGCAGAACCCTAATTTTGTTTCTAAAATAAAAGTAGCCTAAGTTACTCCTTGTGACATCAGCTATACTTAGAGTAATTTTGACATTACAAACAGACACTTCAATTTTATTTATTTGTATAGATTATATCTATACATATAATATACTAGCAATCAGCCCCGGCTTCGCATGTGTAATTTCAGCATCTCGACAACAGCTCCACTTACTGGGTCCAATTGTGAATCTCAATTACCCTGAGACCCACTCCAACACACACAGTTTTTTTATCGGAATCTGTCTAGCCTTTTGTGAGTTTTAGCGACACTGACACAGACAGCAATTGATTTTTATATAAAGAAATTATAAAGCCGCGATAGCTCAGGTGCTTAGCACTCGTTGGAAATTTCACTGTAGGCGAACAGCCCGGGTTCAATCCCCGCCGGTGGGGCGTATATAGGCTGTAACTTTAACTTAATATGTATTATAATACTGTAACTGTCACATAAATTTGCTTTGTTACTCTTTCCTCATTCGTTCTTTCTACATGACCAAACCACCAAAGCATTCCTTTCTTAATCCTTGTCACAACATCGTCTTGTAAACCACATTTTTCTCTAATCACACATTTTCTAACCCACATTCAACCCTAACACAGTCTTTAAAGACCTAAATGCGTTCATTAAAGACTGTGTTTGGGCTGAATTTATACTACTCTCGTGTTTTTTTATTGTTCTTTAAATTCTGATTCTTTTTTCTATTAAAATTTTAATTTTTAATAAGTCACATCTTAACATAGGGGATACCTTGTTTAGTTCTGACCAACCACAACACAACCCAATAATACAATTACAGTTTTAAGCAGTGTTTTTATCAAAAATGTAAGAGGTCATGTCATAAATTTATATTCATTCCACGAATGCAGGAAATGTGGTTGCGGAGCTGAGACGCGCTCCGTACTCTGCAGCAGCAAGCTGCCGCAGCTGTGCGGTCGAGAGTGTAAACGTAAGCTGGCGTGCGGAGTCCACGAATGTCAACGTGAATGTCACGAAGGTCCCTGCGATGATTGTTCAGAAACTGTAACACAAGGTAGGTTAAAATATTGTTGAAAATTTGTATATTTTGTTTTGTTTTAAACTCATAGTAACAAGTGATGTTCAGGTTAGGTTAGTTTATATTAGCTACGATCCGTGGACAAAATATTATATTGTTTTTCCATAAAGTAATGTGTAATTATATAGTCGGCTTATTTATTTTTATTCATAAAATATAGAAGACCAATGAGCACACAGTTCAAATGATAGTAAGTGGATGATGTGGCCCATAGTCACCTATGTCCATCCTTGATTAAGAATAAAAATATATTAGATGTTTTGTTACTCCTGCGTACTAAGATAGAATCTCTGATTACCAGTAAAAAAGATCTCCGATTCTCTACACTCACGATATGAAACATGGCAGCATTAAGCTGCTATTTTATGATAGTATTCTGTAAGAGCTGGTCCTTCCGCGATCGGACCAACCCAGTCATGCTGTTGCCATAATATAGCTGCAGCATGGCTCCACCAGGTTTTACTATGTACGCTTCTTACACTCTGACAGAAAGAAATAGGATGGATTATTCGCTACCACCACGCGGCTACGACATGATAGAGGGCCACTTCATGGCATTACCAAAACTGTGTTATGTCCGAATTGTCGTTTAGTAGCGAGCCATTATGATTGTATAATTAAAGTTAAAGTTACAATCTATATATGTCCCACACAGGCACAGACCTCTCATTTCTGAGAGGGTTTTAGGGCAAGGAAATGTCCACCGCGCTGCTCCACTGCGTGTTGGCGAACTTCACATGTATTCCAAATTTTTCTTTGATTGTGTAATATTTGACTTTATTAGAGTTAGTAAATTTTTTGCTTACTACTTGATTTTCTAATAAAGCAAGCCATAGTCACTAGTCACCAGTGTGGCCGTGGAAGGAAAAAGGGAGATCTCCCGCCGGGTAAGGTGTTATTTCGGAGCTGTTCTAATATATAGCATGTTAACTTCAAAACTTTGATAGCGTGATTTAGGCTTCGGTGTGTTTCACTTATGGCGTGACGACGGCGCCGGCCACAACATATAACACAGTCTTGCTAGGAATTGTGACCCCGTAATCTGTCATTTAGCATGCACATGTGTAAATGCTCCAGCCGTCCGCTGCCTTTCTGTGTATTTGTGCACATGAAATGGACATAGTTTAGCAAAAAGGTTTCAGCCCAAACTTTTAGGATTAAAAGGAGTTTAAATAAACTAAAACAATTGTTGTAGTAAATACTTTTATATAATTGAATATCCTAAAAAAAAGTCTGTTATCCAAACTTCAAACATCACACATTCAAATATCAATATAGAAAGTATGTATTTTTGCGTTGGATCATTATTTTTCCGTAACAACATCCAAATATTAGACTGTTAGGGAATTATAGACAAATATATATTCGGCTACATGCCGAATACCTAATATTATTTGGACTTCCTGGCCGAATATTATGCAAAAGTATTCGGCCGGGAAGGATGTAATGTTTATTCTTGAGAACGTCTATTCTCTGAAGCTGGGATTGTCTACGGGAAGAAAAGGAGTAAACTACTGCCTGAAAATGAAGAAAAATTAATCATTCTACATTATTATCTTCCACTTTAATTCATTCAAGTGTTTAGACATTTATTTAATAGTTATTTTTAAATTTTTATTATATGGAAGTTGATTATGTATTTATACTACTTTCATCATACTTTCATAATTACAAGAAAAAATTATAAAATAAATAAATATTTTAACTTTACCAATTATTATCTGACTAAAATAACCTCTTACTGAAGTATTCGGTATTCGTCCGAATAGTATCTAGATATTCGGTATTCGACCAAATAGGATAAAAGTAACCGAATTGGCCGAATACTGAATAATAGCCGAATATTCGTTGCAAGTCTATCAAATATTAATCTGTTTTCGCCAGTGTGCTACTGCCCTGCAGCGAAGTCCCGATCAGTGGCATGCACAGCGGAGACCGGCACTTGTGACACGTGGTCCTGCGGGGCGGAGTGCGCTCGCGTTCTGTCGTGCGGCGCGCACGTGTGCAGGCGCGCGTGCCATCCGCCGCCGTGCTCGCCTTGCCCGCTGCGCCCCGACAACGTAAAAGCCTGCCCCTGCGGGAACACCAGGTAAGTGTGCACTAACTTGTACCTTACGTGCGTATTAACTTGCATCGAAACATCGATTTGTTCACTTCACTTGCGCCGAATCACGTGCATATTAACATGTAACATGACATGTGCACATTTGCATATGTATTCCATTTCAAATGTACATTAACAGCGATAGATCACATTCATTCAGAATATATCTTAAGAATCAACAGTCTAATTTAAAGTCCACTGTTGGATTAGTTTGTTTCTTTTCCCAGAATGCACCAGCTGGTATTGCATTTCTGAGAGGATTTACCCATCCCATACATTGTGAGTATTGCTGGTTAGGAGGTTGGTAAGCGCAGAAACTATACTCAATACCTCTCTATATAGAGATATCTTATAATGTTTTTCTATAAGATACCTTTTAATGTATTTCAATCACCTTTGCTTGTTATTGTGATCCTAAGGATAATAAGCATAATTGAATAGATGGCGCTAAACCTAGCCACCACTTAGCAATTGTACCTATATAAATTGATGTAATACAATGTATATTAATATTATACATCTCTAATAAACTACTGAGAAGTGTACTCAGAAGTTACCTTAATTCCAGGATTATTAGTGGTATAGTTGTAGCACGAATGGGTCGGCTCGACCGGGGAAGTGCCACGCTCTCACAGAATACCAGCGTAAAATAGCAGCTTAACGCTGCTGTGTTTCGTATGGTGAGTGTAGAGAACCAGCGGCCCGTTTTACTGGAAAGGAGGTATTCCACCTTAGTCCTCAGGTGTGACAACGCATCTGCATTTTGATTCTTAATTGAGGATAAATGTAAGTGTCTATAGGCCACAGCATCTACTTACCATCAGGCTCGTTTGTCACCCATAATTCGGTCGCTAGAGCTCCATCGTACTCAATTAAAGATGCTAAAATTTTAAACTTCTAAACTTTGCCCCAAAGTTTTTGTATCGCCAATGACTAAATTCATTAAAGATGTTAGAATTTTCACATCTTTAATATTATGGATTTGCACAAAGTAACGCCTGATTCTATTAAATAAAATGGCTATAGGAATTTGATGCGATATAATATTCACGCTGTTCAATTTTCCTCAAGGATTACTGCATCATTTACCTTTTAATTATTACAAATTAAATTTTAAGAGGTGTGTCAGGATCGTGCCAAATCGTCCATAGTCTCTGCCTACCCTTCTGGGAGACAGGCGCGAGTGTTTATGTGTGTGTGTGTGTGTGTGTGTGTGTGTGTGTGTGTGTGTGTATTAAATTTTATAAATTGTCACAACCTAGTTTAAATTTTATTTCACAGAATTGAAAAAGATCAGCGAAAGTCATGTGCCGATCCTATTCCCCTTTGCGGAAATATATGTGCAAAGCCGTTACCATGCGGTCCTGAAGGCGACAAACACTTTTGTAAACAGTTGTGTCATGAAGGTATGAAATTAATATGTTATTATATTATTATCTTTATTTTAATAAATTATCAACAGTATTTTGGGAAACTAAAGTTACAAAATATAACTAACATTTTCTATTTTATCAACTCCTAGGACCATGCCCAACATGCCCGGATAAAACACTGTTGCCATGCCGCTGTGGTCATTCAAGTCGTGAAGTGCCTTGTTCAGAATTGCCAGAAATGATCAATAATGTACTGTGTCAAAAGAAGTGTAACAAGGTAATTAATCGAATACTAATGTGTTTTTTTATGGATGCATAAGTTAGAACTAATCACTACCATCATCTAGTGGCGGGTGGTCCTACACTTCGTCTACCGGTACGAGGCTGCCACTCGAGATCCATTTTCCCCCCATTGGTTTTCGGTTCTTCGAGTTATATGGCCGGCCCATCGCCACTTCAGCTTGCTAATCCGTTTGGCTATGTCGGTCACTCTGCAGATATCCTCATTTCTAAGTTTATTACACAGAGAAAACCCGAGCATAGCCGTCTCCATAGTTCGCTGAGTGACCTTGAGCTTCCTCATATGGTCAGCAGTGAAGAACAACGTCTCAGTTCAATAACTCACCGACCCCCCACTAGATGGATTGACGACCTGGTAAGACATGCAGGAAGTCGATGGATACAGGTGGCTCAGGGACGTGTTTTGTGGCAATCCTTGAGGGAGGCCAGCAGTGGACTTGTAAAGAGTGTGATGATGGTATATTTTTAACAATAAATATTTTAATATATTTTCGACAATTAAATATACAATTGTAAATGAGTTTTGTTTATATTTAAAATTTAATTTAGTTAACACAGAAATTAACTTAACTAAATTCTTCACCAAACTTGTGATATATTTTTATTTAAAAAAAACTATCTTCACATGTTCCTCTCTTGTATCACGGATTTTACATACATAATATATTGTACGAGGACAAACAGCCATATCTAGAACAGTTACATGTGAGCAAGTAATTGTTTAGGGATTGAAGCGCTTCACTCAAATTTCACCTCTAAAGATGACAAAAAGGGATAAACATTTTAATGTAACTGTACTATGATTTTCCTTAATCCACTCAAAAAGATAAAAGAAAATAATTTAAATAAAATTGGGGCTTTAAATCTTCTATAGACTGTGTTATAGCATCGATTACAGAATGAGAAATTATGATTTTTTTAGTTCTTTTAAGTTGCCTTTTAGTTTTAATTAAAAGTTAATTTCCGAGTTGGACAAGTGGCAACACTGTTTGATAACTGGCAACACTACAGAAGCTGTCGTGCGGGCGACACCGGTGCCGCACGGCGTGCTGCGCGGCGCAGTCGCACCGCTGCGCCGTGGTGTGCGGGCGCACGCTGTCGTGCCAGCTGCACCGCTGCGAGGAGTTCTGCCACACCGGCCACTGCGCGCCCTGTCCCCGCCTCAGTCAGTCTCACACGTTTTCTTTTTCCTTTGTAATGGACTCTCACTGTTGTAATTTTGCCAGTGTCATACAGTCTTTAAAAGTCCACTGCTGAACATAGGACTACCCCATAGATTGCCTTATATTTTGGATTCAGGATTTGCGATAATTTTTACTAATTTACCACAGTTTTAATTTTTATTTTGAGATGTCATGAAGAAGATGCTGCTGCCAATCGCCTGCTTCAATTTCCCTCTATTGCCTCTTGCGACACCGATGGGACAATATAGGGTAATAGATATTTCTACCCGCCACTACACGGCGTCGCCAGTGTCAAGTAATAAAAATTATCCTATAAAATAATTTGTTTAACAACTTTGCAAAATTTTTGGGAGATTTTGACTGCAGCTTGAATCAACAGACAGTCGATGACAACAGTATCTCAAAGCGCCTAATCAGATACATTATATTGAGGTTTACATCACTATTGGAGCACTTGTGTCATCGTTTCCACTAATAGTTCACATGTGAAGACACCTAATACACAAAATTGCACTACTTTTATGTATCAAAATGCACTGTAAACCATTATTTATACAATAAAATAAGAACAACAATCTGCTGATAGCCAATTTCCTGCCCATACTTCCTCACGTTTTACATAATATTTTGTATGTATTCTTTTTTTATAAAATATGTGTAACAAACGAGCTCACAGTTCGCCTGATGGTAAGTACATGCTGTAATCCACAGACTACATCAATCCTCGATAAAGAATCAATCACATATACCACGTTTCTAGTAAAAAGGATCTCCGGTTCTTAACACTCACCATACAAAACACAGCAGTATTAAGCTTGGGGGCAGAGATTTAAGAACTCGATCTAGATCTTTCGAACTCTAGAAGGCACAACATACCAGTTTTCAATTTCCTTTCATTATATACGTAACAATTATGAAATAAAATGTACCCTAACCAGGTTTCGATGAACTCCGCTGCGAGTGCGGTGCGGAAGTGGTTCTACCACCAGTGCGCTGTGGCACCAGACCTCCGAAGTGTAACGCTCCTTGTCGTCGCGAGAGACCTTGCAAGCATCCACCCCACCATTCCTGTCACACCGACGACTGCCCTCCTTGTGTGGTGCTCACCACCAAGATGTGTCACGGACAGCATGAGGTACGTTAGGTGACGATGTCTTACTAACTGATGCACTCATGATGGCAACTTTCAAAAACTTGAAAAAATCCGATCCACAGAAGTTATTATCTTGGCACAAATGTATATACTAGAGCTGTTGCAACTATATTATGGTTTTTGTACGAATGACCTAGCTTGACTGGGATAGGACCGAGCTCTCACAGAATACCAGCATAAAATAGCAGCTTTATGCTCCTGTGTTCCTTATGGTAAGTAGAGAACCGGAGTCTTTTTTACTGGAAACGAGGCATTCCATCTTAGTTCTCAGGGGTGATAAAGCATCTGCATTTTTATTCTTTATTTGAGGATAAATGTAAATGTCTATGGACCTCAGCATCCACTTACCATCAGGTAGACTGTGTGTTCGTTTGTCACTCTTATTCTATAAAAATGCTAACATAAACACAAACGTAAAGACAAACGTTTATATGATAAAGATGGGAGAGATAGTTGAATAATTTGTATTAGTATAAATTTATTTTATATTATTTGAAAATATACAAATGAGTTGTGATAAATTATTAGATGAGCGCACTGCCTTTAATCGGTTGCCAGAACTTTGCCTGTCAGTTAGCAAGACACACCATTATATTGCAGTTTGAAGAGCGTTTATAAAAGCTGTTGATGCCAGGTGATACCGCCTACCTGTGTAGGTATTTACGCTGTCCTGTGCAAATATGTTAGGGTTGTCAAAATTTGGGAAAATTTTTTTTTTTGATATATTGAGCATTTTAAAAAACTACATACATAAACGAAGGCCCATAACTCGCAAATGGTGTGTCGTAGGACCGTTATAGGTATATTTCACGACAATGGCACTTAAATTTAGTTAAATACTTCAAAACACGCTCGCGTGCACTAAGCGAAGTACGCTGGCACGCGGTCGTACGCCCACTGCCCCACAATACCCTCTCCGCAGCTCTGTACAAATACATTCATTTAACAACTGTTATACTCCCTTTAAACTGTGATAGTGGGGAGAGAGATTAACACTCAAATACAATTGTGTATATTAAGCTCTTACATGTAATATTTTTGAATTATAATAAAATATGTTATTTATAGGAGCGCAAGACAATACCGTGTTCCCAAGAAGAGTTCTCCTGTGGAATGCCGTGCGGAAAGCCTTTGTCCTGTGGCAAGCATACTTGCATCAAGACATGCCACAAAGGACCTTGTAATACTGAAAAGTAAGTAATAACAAACAACTCATATGGGTACATATTATCACCATCATTATTACAGCCCATCACAAGTCCACTGCTGAACATAAATAGATGTTTCATAATGAATGCCACAAAGTACGATCCTGATCCACCTGCATCTATCGACTTCTTCTGCACGTTTTACCAGATCGTCACTCTATCTGGCGGAGGCCGCCCTGCACTTCGCTTACACTTACGAGAGCTGCCACTCGAGCACCTTTCTTAGCCATCAGTTGTAGATTTTTAATAATCCGTTATTCAACAGGTGTTTGAGTGGCAGCCCTTGTAAGTGTTGAATTGTTTATTGCAATTTTAAGTACTGATTTACTATGTGCTCGGTGGTGAAGGAAAACTTCGTGAGCAAACCTGTATGTTTGAGAAAAAATTATATTTCGTAGACATGTGAAGTCCGCCAACACGCATTGGGGTAGCGTGGTGGACACTTCCTTGCCCTAAAACCCTCTCAGAAATGAGATGAGGCTTGTGCCCAGCAGTGGGACGTATATTATCTGTAAATTTACTAACTTTACAACAGGAGTTTTGGCGGGAACTTGACCAGCGGCGGATTGCTGCTCGTGTATTGCACATAATACACTTCAAACATTATGTTTAAATAATGGTTTGAAGTGTGTTATGTGGTGCCATTTTGTGTATTAAATGTCTGCGCATGTGAACTTATTAGTAGAAACGGTGAAACAAGTGCTCCGGTGGTAATGTGAATCCCAAGAAAAGGTGCATGGTCTACTTGGCGCCTTGATATTCTATCGCCAACTGTTTGCTGATTCAAGTTGCCGTCAAAATCTCCAAAAACTACGCAATGTGACGCATCAACATATTGTGAAGCAGTGTACTATAAAGGGTTATTATCAATTGATACTGAAAATCTATAAAAACGAAGATCCCGAATGAAATGAAGACATGGCTTAAAGGACAAGCATCCAAGCCAAAAATGCTAAAAAACTATTAAAAAGTTTTAAACAGGTGCAGCCAGCCGTGCACGGAGAAGCGTCCAAGCTGCGGGCACGGGTGCGCGGCGCCGTGCCACGTGGCGGGCGGCGGCGCGTGCCCCAGCAGCGCGCCGTGCCGCCGCACCGTGCGCGCCACGTGCCCCTGCGCGCGCCGCGCCGCCGACCGCATGTGTCACGACAACGCGCGTGATTACGCTAAGTGAGTCACGTTGTCACGTTGCCCCTCCAATGCTTCCCGTCGCTGCGACACGACAGCGCGCGCGGTCTGCCCAAATTAGGAGCGTTGTCACTCTCTTTCTTTTATAGTCTGTTCACTAAGATAGTGTCAGTACACCCGGAGGCGCAATTATTATTTTACTTTTATTTCTTTTTGTTTGTTAAATAAATGTTTTTCAATTTTAAAAATAATTTAGAATAAAAAATAAACACAAGTTATGTAGCAACGAACATTTCATTACGGCGCTTCGTTTCAAAATGCCAAATTCTCCTGCGGTGACCTTTGATGTCGCGGCGGTGCCTTTAAAAATATGCGGCACGCGCCAAGGCGGCGCGACACAAAGGCGACCGTATCTAAGTCTACAAACTATATATTGAGAAGAGACCACCGCCGCTTATGAACGTCCACAACACCAGATGATACTGTCGGCCTTTTAAAAAAAGAGTAAACCATTTTTTGAAAGCCTATCGATCCTACAAAACCCTAGCGCCATATTATTTTTAACCGGGAATGCCTGCAAAAATACAGTCGTGGTCAACCATCAAGTTCGTCAAGCTCAGCAAATGAACCATAGTGTGACATTGTACATACTTCCAATTATGTACAACCATCCACTGTACAGCTTTTGTACATCAATTCATATAGCCCACAAATACTTCTTCTGTGTCTGGGTGTTTCTACATGCGCTATATATTATAACATCTTAAATTTATTATAAAATATACTTAAAAAATCTCCACTATTGAACAGAATATCCTAATTTAGGGATAACATAATTAAAAAAATAAAACTATCAGTGTTAGGTGTAAACCCCAATTAATCTCAAATAGAAATAACAACCTTAAATAAGTAAATATAATATAATTAAGTACATCTATTTATTATCCTGTTACATTAAAAAATATCGTGTATTCATATCAAAAATCGATATTTAATATCAATTTATTTAACAGGATGATGAGTACGCTAGCGGCTACGAAAATGCAAGAGGGAGGCTCCGTAGACCTATCTGAAGTGCAACGCCCTGGATCAATGCTGAAGACGTGAGTACATATAATTTTTTCATTCATTCATTACAGTGCTTCACAAGTCAACATATTAATTTTAATTCTAACTAATTTGTCATTATTCACAAAGGACTATTTGCAGCCGAGCAACATCTAGATGTTGATTGTGGCATACAACATTATACAATAACTCAGTTTATAAAAATTTTGTCTGTGTGCGGATCGAGTGAAAATGATAGGGCCTGTTTTTACTGCTATGCATAAGGTGTCACTAAAAACATAGCAAATATTTATTTCTATCGAATTAATAAATAGATTCAAGGTTTGCTTTTGAGCCTTTTATTACGCTGTGTGGGGTTTTTCCCTAACACTCAATAATAATTAATGCTAAATAATAATATACTGAATTATTAATTGATCGCACGATAGAAATAGGATCTTGGTAGTTGTCGTAAGAGGCGACAAAGGGAAACAAATCAGGAGATAGGCAGCAGCGTCTTTCTAATAACGACTATAAATAAACAACTGCGGTTGCCAACCTGTTTACCAACCGTGGCAAATATCCTTTCCTTTGCTTTTTTTTTTAAAAAACAACTACCCCCCAATCTTTACTTGTGGTAGAGCCATGCTGCAGCTATATTAGTAGTAGGTATAGTTGTAGCACGAATGGGTCGACTCGACCGGCGAAGGACCACGCTCTCACAGAATACCAGCGTAAAACAGCAGCTTAACGCTGCTGTGTTTCGTATGGTGAGTGTAGAGAACCGGAGACCCATTTAACTGGAAACGAGGCATTACATCTTAGTTCTCATGGGTGACAACGCATCTGCATTTTGATTCGTAATCGAGAATAGATGTAGATGTCTATGAGCCGCAGCAACCACTTACCATCAGGTGGACTGTGTGCCCGTTTGTCACGCTTATCCTATAAAAAAAAAACTAGGATTTTCTCCTGTAATTGTGAGGCAGTTTTCAAACAAATTGCACAAGGACAAACATCCAGACCCGGAACAATTACTTGCAGGTCATACAAATACTTGTTCCGTGCGGGATCTCAATATAATGCAATTTATGGATGAAGCCTATGTTCAGCAGTGGACATTAATTGACTGTAACGATAACGGTGACGACGATAGAATTTGCACGATTGGCACAATTTGCAGATTTGACAAAAATGGTGCAGAAAGCAGAAACTTAAGCTGTGTATTTAACACATACATAATAATGCTATGTAGAGGTCATACATGCTGTGCCATATAAAGCAAGGGCTGTAATTGTCTGATTCTTCTTTATCAATTCGTAAAAGTCCACTGCTGGATATGGGCCTCTTCCGTTGTAGGAAGGATTTTCCTTAATCGTCACACTTGGCTAGCGAATTGACGATCGCAAAGTATGCTGTCAAGCATCTTTAACGCTGCTGTCCATCGACAGATTTTTTTAACCGTTTCCTCCCGTAGTTGTCGTAAGAGGCGATTACGGAAAATGCCAGAAATATCTCAGATTTTTCGATAGGTTACATTAAAATTAAATCGTTAACACTAGGCGCCAAATACTCAGGCCGGCAATGGAAAGTAGCTTATAGGTGCCGAGGAGAGATTGTAGCCAAGAAATTTTAAAATCTTGCAGACAAATATAATTATTCCCTTTTCAATAGTCTGTGGAGTGTATGTCAAGGCGAAATATTTTATATTTTTTATATATCAATGTGTAGTCAAAACTACTAATACTTACTATTACTAGTAATTCCTTTATGAGACTGCGAGTAGAGAAGAACACTGGTTCTATGTTTTGTAAATTGCGAACGTTGTTTCGACAATCTAACACTGATTCTGTTTAATGTGACAAAGAAAACACTGTCATTATTTACTATACACGCATATGACACAGTTTTTATCAGACACGGTCGAATTGGCAATCCTTACGAGGCTGAAGTGCGACGACGAATGCCGCAAGTTGGCGCGCATTGTTTAATATACAATCTTTAAATGTATGAGTAACGGTGGAATTTGTAATCCGCCGCACCAGACTGGAGTGCGACGATGAGTGTCGCATGGAAGCGCGCATTGCTTAATATACGACTTTAAAGTGTATGAATTACGGTCGCATTTGGTATCCGCACCACGTTGAAGTGCGACGACGAGTGCCGCAAGATGGCGCGCATTGCCTAAATACGACCTTAAAGTGTAAGAATTGTGATGGAATTTTGTATCCGTATCAGATGAGTGCAACGAAGGAGTACCGCAAGTAGGTGCTCATTGTTTAATATACAACCTTAAGGTGTGTGAGTTAGGGTGTAATTTGCAATGTTTGTCAGGCTGGAGTGCGACGACGAGTGCCGCATGGAGGCGCGCAGCCGGCAGCTGGCGCTGGCGCTGCAGATCCGCAACCCGGACGTGTCGGCCAAGCTGGCGCCGCGCTACAGCGAGCACGTGCGCAGCACCGCCGCGCGCGAGCCCGCCTTCGCGCAGCACGTGCACGACTGCCTCGCCGACCTCGTGCAGCGCGCCAAGAAGGTAACCAATCAAACATCTCAATACGGTCAACATTTTTGACGTGACTTTCCGTTAGTTAATCTTCCTCATTCATGGAATTTCGATTCGATTGACATTCGCCTGCAGTTTATTGGCTAGAAAATGTTTATGCGCAAATACTGGTTACTTCGTGCTCACAACTCGCGCCGCTATTTATACCATATTCATTGACATATCTATATATTAATATTTAATAAGAAAACTTTGTACTCCTTTTTAAGCATATTGCTCTCCTGGAGGTGTGTTAAAGTTGGTATAGTCAGTTTGGATGGAAAGTACAAAAAAACTAAAATTTATTAGTGTGTTACAAATACATTACACATGGTCAAGTCACGTTACAGTTATATTATGGTTGCAGCATCATCCACTTACTGTCAAATGGATTGTGTGCTCGTTTATCACACTTATTCTGTTAAAAAAACTTACAAGAACAGAATTATGATAATTTTTACCCAACTGCGCCAGAAGAAGAACAATATATTTCCCGTGATGTATTTATGTACGTCTATTTCTTTGACACGCTCTGTAGTCCAATCGGCTTGCAGATGGGATGTCGTCAGATTTGTCTTAGTCGTGAAAGTGACATGGGGAAAATTTTTCTCTTTTCGTATTTTACAATTTCTTCTGTGATTAGCGCTGTTAGCTATTTAACTTCTATATCTCTATATGAGTGAAAGTTTCAGCTTTCGAATACTTTTTCTTTTTATTTTATATTTACTATCTAAGACTACACTTAATACCCTATTACGGCTCGAATATTTTTCAAGTGGGCAACCCGTAGTTTGAATTTTAATTTTTACCATTGACAGTCGAAACAGAAGACGCGCTCGCACTCGTTCCCTTCAATGAACCGTCAAAAGCGACAGTTCATCCACGAGCTGTGCGAGCACTTCGGCTGCGAGAGTGTCGCGTACGACGCGGAACCCAACCGGAATGTGGTCGCCACCGCTGACAGAGAAAAAGTACAGTCTCAAACATCAACAAGTTGTTAATGTTTTGTAAATAGACGAATGTTTAGTAATGTGCCCAAATACCCAATTGATCTACGTCACAAGAAATGTGGTAGCACGAAGTGGTCGCTTCGACTTGGAAAGGACCACAGAACACCAGCGTGAAACAGCGGCTTGATGCCGTTGTGTTTCCTATGGTGAGTGTAGAGAACCGGAGATCTTTACTGGATGGACGATGCACTCCCATCTTAGTCCTCGGGGCTGACAATGCATGTGCATTTTGATTTTTAATTGAGGACAGATGTCTATGGACACAGCATCCACGTACATCAGGTGGACTGTGTGCTCATTTTTCACCCTTATTTTTTTTAAATGTTTTTATTATTAGTATTGTACCTTTTACTTTTGTATTTGAATTTTTACAGGCTATCACAAGTCTATAAACATAGGTTTATGTTACCACACATTGATGTGGCAGCGTAGAGGTTTCTAAGGCTCTTGGATCCATTGTCTCCAAGCAAGCCTAATTTTTTTTTTATTCTAGCTGGGCTTTTAACACCACTTAGTAACGTTAACCACTACAACTACGCTTTAAATGCTTGTACTTAATGATGGATTCGAACCCACGGATTTTTTAACCATTAGGCTAATATAAATGTATACATGGGTGGTAATAATCCCTGGGAATGAGGTGGTCGCTTTTTTTTGCGCCCAATACAAGGCACCCTCCGGAAGCCGAGAGAGGGAGGTGGTGAATGCTTATAGCATACCACGGCAGCCGGCTGCGTGATTATGTGGGACGCACTTTGAAGAAGTGTCTACCCACTAAACACCACCTGTAGGACTGGCATTGGCCTATATGGCCTTACTGCCGAATCGGAAGCGACCCCCTTTAGAGAAAAGGGGGCGCAGATGTGGTGGTGGCTTCCAAACTGTTTCTTAAATAAGTTTTGTAAGTAGTTTATACAACCCATATTCTTATTGTATCATATACATTGGAAAAAAGTTCCACCGGGTTTCTTGCTGGTTCTTCCCAGGACAGAGCCGCACGACGACGGCTCCAGTGGCTTAGCAATTGAGTTGCAGCGCTAAGGGCCGCCGGTTCGAACCCCGCACGGAACAAGTATTTGTATGGTCTACAAATAATTGTTCCGGATCTGGATGTTTGTCCTTGTGCAATTTATGTTTGTAAACTGCCCCCACGATACAGGAGAAAATCCTAGTGTGGTGATTACGTTTTTTTAAAGAACTGAGGAAGATCAGAGGTTTTTTCAAAACCAGTGGTAAAAGTAAAAAATGTCTTTCAATAATATTTACTTGTAATCTATATTGAATAAAAAGTTATTCTTTTTTATTCCATTCTATTCAATTTTATTCCATTGTAATTGCTGTAATATTTAATACGTATTTCATTTTAGTCGTGGTTGCCGGCGATGAGTGTTTTGGAAGTGTTAGCCCGAGAGGCGGGCAAACGTCGCGTTCCCGGGCCGGTACTGCGGGCGCCAGCTACCAGCGCCAGTACAGCACCAGCAACTACCCCCACTACTTCCACCAGGTGACCACTGAAATATCATGCTATGTGATTTCGTGAATACGTGTACGTAATGAAACGAGTTCGAAATGGCGGCGGATGCGTCACAGTCCTCATTCAACGTAACAAATTCTTTGATCGTTTAGCTATCGAGAGGTGTAATTAAATTGTGGATGTACAGGATAGATATGTAACCGCAACACCAAACTGTATCCCCTGATTTTGTTATCACTATGGAAGTACTTCATACGTGGTAGAGCCATGCTGCAGCTATATTAGTAGTATAGTTGTAGCACGAATGGGTCGGCTCAACTGGGGGAGGGCCACACTCACAGAATACCAGCGTAAAATCGCAGCTTGATACTGCTGTGTTTTGTATGGTGAGTGTAGAGAACCGGAAACCCATTTTACTGGAAAAGAGGCATTCCATCTTAGTCCTCACGGATGACGACGCATCTGCATTTTGATTCTTTATTGAGGATAAATGTAGATGTCTATGGGTCACAGCAACTACTTACCATCAGGTGGACTGTGTGCTCATTTATTCACCCTATCCTATAAAAAAAAAATTTAAAGACATTCAAGTCAAAATAATGTGATTTCTTGAATTCAATTTGTCTAGAATAATATCTGTGTTACTTTTGGTATTCCTTAAAAGTAATTGCAATTTAGCACAAAGATAATATATAACCTTGCATGTCAAAGACCATTACCATTACAGCCTATGAAAAGACCTCTGCGGAACATAGGCCCCACCATAGATTGTTCATAGGGGATGCATCATGCTATGCTAGCACTATTAGTATTTTTTGTACTGCAGTTTTTTTATTATTATTTAGCTATTATCTGGAAGATGATGATGCACATCTCCTGACTCAGCTTCCCTCTATCGCCTCTTACGAAAACCACGGAATATGGGGTAGTGGATATTCTTACACCATCACTACACGGTAATGAAATCAACTAGATGTTTTCATGACCGTGTAGTCACTTGGGATATTTTAGAGTTCTTGAGAGTCTGAGGGTTCTTCAGAGTAATTTAAATTAAGCGCAAACTTAGTGACTGCTAATTGCTGAATTACTATCTACTAAAAGAAAGTTAAAAAAATATATATATAATTTTAAAGTATATTGAAGACATGTCTTATCCACTAACGCGTTCGGATTGCGCTGTGAACCCTTACACTTATCTAAAATCTTTTCGGAAACAAGAAGTGCTTTGTAACCATTTGTGGGTTTTATATGTTCTTATTTTACTTAATATTATACTCCAGGACAACCAGCGGCTGGGCAACTCTGACGTCGACGAACGCCTGGGCTTCCCGCAGCCAGCCGCGACCCACCGCAGAACCCAAAATAGATTATTTCGACAATCCGCCCGAAAACTAGGCGCTACTAGCTCAATTTTAAAGTCTAGGCGAGAGTTGCGTGAGGTCCAATGATCTTAACTTATTTAATTCAGAATATACAAATACCTTCTTGTAAGTATAATATGCGCATATCATTGAGTTATATGTACTACGTACTAGAGAAGCCATTCCAAACAAAAATTGTGCCCTACTCTATGTCTACTACTCACGCGCATGCGCGAAGACTTTCATTTGCTATAAAATAAGATATTAATATAAAATATCTTAATTTAATCTAACAAACATATTTCTAAATAAAATGTAATAATAATTATTTTATGGAATTCACAAATCTTCAATTTACGCAATATTTAATTTGTACAGATTGCAGTCAGTCCAGTTGAACATAGTCAATGTTCGGAATGGCTTCTCTAGTACGTAGTACATATATCTCAATGGCGCATATAAAAAATAACCATTCATTATCCATAACAGCCTATAAAAGTCTTCTGTGGAACATAAGCCACCCCACAGATTACCTCATGGGGAGGATTTTACCATATTTGCCACGCTTCCTAGGCAGGTTGGCAACCGCAGTATAATTTTGTAGTTGTTATCAGGAAGATGCTGCTGCCCATCTCCTGTCTGAGTTTCCCTCTGCCGCGTCTTACAACACCCACAAGACGATAATATGGGGTGTATTGCAATACACGCCACTACACGGTTAAAAAATAACAGACATTTTGTTTTGTTTATAACTGTCTTCCTTTATGTTATGGGCTAATAAGATTGTATTATAGTAAAGGTCATTTACTCATCGGACGTACAATAGGTATATACAGGGACATTTTTATTTTTACTAAAGACCTTTTGGGAATATATCGGTTGCATCATTACAACAATTTTAACGAAATCACTCTTTACAGAATATAATATATTTAAAAAAAAACTATTTTTAAGTTTTTGTTGTCATGTATGACTTCTTTCGTTCGTTTGATTTCAACACATTTGTTGAAAGTTGTAATCATTGTACATAATTAAATAAGCAAATAACATTCAAAATAAATCACAAATATTAAAATTTATAATAGGTAATTATAAAGTATGATTCTCTGCGACGCTAATTTTCATCGTTCGCAATATTAATCTCATAACGGAAGGACAAGCGTCGCGGGCGCATCAAAGCCGACTGAGCTGACGACACAGGTAATTAGGTTTTAGGTTAAGCTCAAATGAGTAAGCGCCGCCTCCTATACCCCTCCACTTAAAATATTTCCTACTTAAAATTTGTCCAATTAAAATATTTTTATTTTTGTATGAAAATAAAAATTTAAGAAATATTTTTTACAGAAGTTGTTGTTATGATGTAAATAATATATTCCCAAAATCATCATCATCATCATCATTACAGCCCTTCACAAGTCCACTGCTGAACATAGGCCGCCCCCAAGGCAAAACACGTTCCTAAGCCACCTGCATCCATCGACTTCCTGCATGTCTTACCAGGTCTCACTCCATCTAATGGGCGCCCTACACTTCGTCCGCCGGTACGAGGCCGCCACTCGAGAATATTCCCAAAAGGTCTTCAGTAAATTAAAAATTACCCTGTATATAATATATCAATTAACATCATAATATGGATTGTAGTATGCTTTATTATAGTCTTACCTACTTTTCATATATTATATTTTAATTACTACTTTCTCTGACTTCATGACCTCTTGTCTGGACGAACTAGAATAAGTAACTTACAAGCAATTTCAGTGTTAGAAAATACTTACTATTACCATTCAGGCAAAATTAAAACAAAATTAACCACTGAACCACTGCAGAATATTTATTTATTGTTTCTATTAACTATTTCAAACTAACTTTTTTAAATAATTATAAATAACACTGAAGCTGCGAGCAAGTCATAGTGTCAATTGTTATAAAAAAAATATTTGTAACCTTAATTATAGATGGGTATTGGTTTGACACATCAGGTATTATCAATTAATTGAACGAACCTAGTTGTAATAAACTGTTATAAAATTTAAAAAAAAAATATTTAAAACCATATAAACCTTTAAAAAAAATGTTTACCTACCCTAGATAAGATTAAGCAATTTTATAGTTCTTTGAGTTCCATACATTGATCCATCCTCCTTTCTTTATTATGTTTAATAAATATTTATTTTTTAGTCCATATGTTTCGAGAATAGTAATGACTGATTGATAATTCTAATAATACAGTTTTATATCAAAAGTCATATTATCAATCCAAGCATATTCAAAGTCTTTTTTAATATTAGAACGACTATTACAGTGGTAAATGGTTACTGTACCATGGACATCACCTTGCAAACAACTTCAAACAAAGAAGTTCAACACTTTTGTAATGTTTGCATGCCATTTTGTAATGTTTGCATGCAATTTTGTAATGTTTGCATGCCATTTTGGCGAAATATGTCTCAGAATTTAATTTGTATTTTATTCGCATCGATTTGTAACCATATTCCATGCAAATAAATCATTGTCATTATCTAATGTTTAATATTATAAAAATGTAGTTATATTACAATAACAAATTCAATCCAAGTAATATAGTTATGGAATATTTAAAGTAGCATGAGAAAATGTGTTCATAATATGTAATTAAATTTTTATAGACACCTTGAAGTATTTTATCATAGTTTCATCTTCTATGTGCACTGTGGGACCTGGTATAATTTTGATGTAAGTTTTTAACATTGCATACATTTTATTCTTTATTTTGTTATTGAATACCCAGTGTTAGGAAACAAGAGAATAACGATATTACAACAACTGAATATTTATTTTATCCTGATCAAGACACAATCTTAAGTTAAGCGTCCATTAGGCGGGCCGGGTCGCATCGCAACCTAAGAATCCGCCTGATACATATTTTGTAAGAAGCTGTGTCCACAGCGGAACGCGACGGAATCTGTCAACGGTTAATTCGACTAGCGTATTTTTCCGCCGCTGCGATTCGGCCCGCTCTGTTCCGCGTGTTTTAAGACTCCCGTCTTAGTGAACGCGGAACACCATAAATACGCTGAACTATTTTCTGCAATACAGGGGTATATGTATGAGAAATTATTTTATTTGATTTTCATGTAAAATTCTTCAAAATTTTCGTAAGACATGCGACTGATAACTCAAACAATTTCACCAGATCTCCTTTTTCCTCCGAACTGGAATTCATTCTTCGCAACAAAGAAAAATACCGCACGAAATACACCACAAGATCTTTTCTTACTAAATTATGAACCACCACCTCATCAAACAAGATATTAAATAAAAATAATACTTCGTCAGAGTATTTATTGATCCCATCGTATCCTTTTCCTGTCAATAGTGAAATATTCTATACCAAAAATAAAAAGGAATGGACCCATAGGTTATCAAAGCATGTTCTTTAATAAAATTACTAAACAAGAAATATAAGCAAAATTTAGGTTAATTATTGCGTTGAAAACCCGAGCTGAACTTACTAAAAATAATGCTTCTAAAAGCATTCTGTTGATCACACTACCCACGGCCTGGTGCTCATAAATTTTGTCTTGTGCTCTCTCTATCATTTTCACTTTAAGTCCAAAGTTAATGTGACACCACGAGACTTAAGGACGTCTTAAAATTGAGTAGCATTTGAGTGTTTGGGCATAAGACAAGCCTAAAATTAACAAGCAGCAATTGCACTACAACGCTCCTTTGTTAAGTTTGTTTTAAATTTCACGCGCATTCCGCAATAGTCTGATAAAACTGTTTATAATACTAACTACTTTGAATATTTTGTATGGCCAATTTGACAAACATGATGAAAATGTTGTCTACTGCCATGCATTCGGCCGCACGAATATTGTATTCATAATTAATTTAATAGTCCAGTCACTAGCATAAAATGCGTGCTCAAAAACAGTTGAGCGTATAAAAATGTTTCAAATAAAATTTGTGGCAAATTTAATGCTCTACAATTTTTAATATAGATGTTAACATCATTGGAGTAGTAGAAACCGAGATAATAGCGAAAAACTATTTTTTTACCTTTGACCTTGAATAACACGACGCGACACGAGATTTTATGAGACTTGAGACAACTTTTAGACGCCAAAATGAAGGTATATACGAAAATTCAGCATATTTCTCTCATTCCGAGGTTGACCGCTAATTTAACTGGACTATATAACCTTATTTAAACTAAGTACTGAGTTAAATGAAAATCACGAGTTTGTTTAACATCTTTCAGTAATCTTATAAAAGCAATATGAAACGCATAAAGCGTCTCCCACACAGACGCGGCTTGCGGTAGCGGCCGCGGTGGCGGCCAGTTGTATTCGCTTGCAATGTAAGTGAGTCTGTAAACTCGTGCGGCCATCGCGCGGCCTGCCAGCGGCTGGCCGCGACCGCATGCTCCGCCCCATTTGCCAATGCGTGTGTGTTAGCGAGTACGCGGTCAGTCAATGGCCGCAGCGCGGTCAGTTGTAAATTTTTACAACAGGCCGCGTGTACCGCGTGAAAAATGGTGCTAAATTCAGAGGTTTTAATAGAAACAGTGCAAAATTATCCTGTACTTTATGATAATTCGCATCGTGATAACAAAAGCATTAGGATTAAAAACAAAATATATGATAATATTGCTGAATATAATAAAACTTCGCCACGGTTTGTCATGTTTACTGACGTCCGATCGTAGCACAGACACCACAGCGCACAGAATACTTTACTCCTAGCGGAGTAAAGTATTCTGCCACAGCGAATGGCGCTTCAGGCCGCGGTGGTATGTTGTTGCAGCGGCTGGAGCCGCGGCCCGCGGTTAGCCGCCACCGCAAGCCGCTTGTGTGTGGGAGACGCTTTAAAGTCCGTGGTGACGGGTTTATTCAATTATTATATTATATTTTTTATTCATTCTTTGTTAAACATTAAATCAAATGCTATCTTTAACAAACTGTTGTACAGATGATTGTGTAATAAAAGAGCTAAAAGTTTTCTGTTTTTGGTACTATTTTTTTATTGTTTATTAACCATAAAGGCTCCTGCCTACACTGGGAGAGAGCCTTGTATACTAGTGGACTTTCACAGACTGATGAAAAATAAAAACCATTAAGGCTGATTACTAATTGTACAGAATGTCCGGTATCTAACCAGTTTTTTATTTTATAAAATAGGGTGACAAACGAGCACACAGTCGTCCACCTGATGGTAAGTGGATACTGCGGCCCATAGACATCTACATCTATCCTCGATTAAGAGTGAATATGCAATGAAATTTGACGGCTGGGTGGCACAGTGGCCTACAAATAATTGCTCCGGGTCTGGATGTTTGTCCTTGTTCAATTTAGAGTTGCTGCGCTAAGGGTCGCGGGTTTGAATCCCGCACGGAACAAGTATTTGTATGGCCTACAAATAATTGTTCCGGGTCTGGATGTTTGTCCTTGTGAAATCTATGTATGTAATGTATAGATTTCACAAGGACAAACATCTATGTATGTAAAAGTATAAATGCCATGATACAGGAAAAATCCTAATGTGGAAGTAATGTTTTTCAAAAAAGATGAAAAAAGAAAAAGAAAGGAATGCAGGTGCGTTGTCTCCCCTGAGGACTAATTTGGAATAAAAAATTATTAAAAATAGTTTATTTCCTTAACATTGATAAGGTACAGTATTATGCCGTGGCCAGAACCACCCAGGAAGTATTATTATTCTGCTTTGGAATGCCTCGTCGTTACATGTAAAAAGGGTACCCGGGTGTCTTCACTCACAATGCGAAACAGCAACATTAAGCTGCCATTTGACGCTGGTATTCTATAGTAAGAGCGTGGTCCTTCCCTGGTCGCGCCGACCCATTCGTGCTGCAGTCATATAATATAGCAGCAACATAACTACCACATGTATCGGTTACCACTCTTCGTGCCTTTGTCAATGACCACAGGTTGCGAAGTGTCGTGTGATGGCGGCGTGAAAGAATCCATCACCACATTGCGTTCAGGGGGTATAAGAGGCGACTGTAGGATTTTCCTAATGAGACCAAACTTCCCAGAGAGTTGATCTCCGTTATGTCGCCGCTAATCAATAAAAATGGAAGTGACAAAACATCGCAGTATTGATAGTCATTTTAAGAGGGTGACAATGAAAGTTCTTAGAAAATCAAAAACTGAACAAACTAGCAAGTTATTCGTTTTATTATATTATCGCTGCATCCCTAATGAGAAAAGCGCTTTGCCCACTCTTCCTTAGGGGTCTCTTCGACGGCATTTTCAAACGCAGCCACTACTTCCTCGGCGTCCATAAAACGTTTTCCTCGAAGTTTTTCTTTTATTTTCGGAAATAAATTAAAAATCGCGAGGTCAGGGCTATAGGGCGAGTGACCCAGTAATTCCACATCTGACGTCGCCAAGTAGTCAATTGTTTGCTTGGCGGTGTGTGACGAGGCGTTGTCGTGACGAAGGAGGATCCTACTGCGAGGTCGTTTGTCCCGAACTTTTTCCAAGACAAGTGGCAAACAATTGTTAGTGTACCCACTCTGCAGTAACTGTTTTTCGATCCTCTATAGCAATTGTTGTGTAATGACCTGTCTATCCGAAGAACGATGCCACCATCTTTTTTCCCACGCTTCGACCTCCCTTCACTTTAGTTGGCAACTCCTCCGAATGAAACACCCAGACAGCAGACTGTCTCTTAGTTTCAGGATCATAACAATAAATCCAGCTTTCGTCACCCGTAAGTATGTCGAACACAGCATTTGAGTCACCCCCGTTAAATCTTTGAACCATTTTACGACACCAATCAACACAACGGATTTTTTGGGCCTCTGTCAAATTATGAGGTATCCACCGGGCACAAAGCTTCCTGACCGCTAAATGTTCATTGAGGATTTTGTGTACTAGACTTATACCGATAACCTAAGCTTGTCCGAATCTGCTGATAAGTCACTCTTTTGTCAGTCTATATCATACGCCGCACAACACTGATGTTATCTTCAGTCGTCGCCGTAGAAGGCCGTCCCTCACGCAGATCATCGGTGAGATTAGTGCGACCACGTTTAAACTCATTAAACCAGTTGTAAATAGTAGAACGAGATGGAGCTTCATCGTGAAAGGCCAATCGAAGTCTATCATAACTTTCTTGTTAACTTAAATGACATCGAAATTCATACGAAAATTTTCTCCCGTTAAATTCATGGTGACGTGACAGACAAATTTCAATTTGCCGCCAAATTGTAAACAAATGACAAACTAATAAAGTACATACACAATAATATTGGCAAAGATTTCAATTTTCAAAAGTTGAACTTATTTTTTTATTATATCGTTTACAAGTGGCCAGTTCTAAAAACTTTCAGTGTCACCCTCGTAATTACCAAGACTAACATTTAAATCATGTAAAAAGCTTCATTCCAAATAAAACCTCAGCAGATAATATGAAACTGATTTTTGTTCTGCCATCAAATACAAAACAACTACATACCTATACTTAAGAATTCTTGTCACTAAGGCTCGTTTGAAAAAACTAGTTAACTAGGTACCAAAAAGTTTTTTTTACATATTTTCACAGGCGTCCTGCTGTGCCGAAAGAAAGAAATAGTGACGTCAGCTATGCTAAAAAGATCTTATGCCTTCCAAAAGCTGGTTGCATTACCATCACGCCTAGGATAAGGGCGTGAAATATCCAGCCCGGCGATAGGAAGCAGCATCAAAGATGTAAAACTTCTTGAAATGCGATCGTCAATCCGTCTGTCTACTAAGCGTGACAATTAAATCAAATCCTACATACAACGGGAGTGGTTCATACCCAGAAGTAAAGTCTACTTCACGAGCACGAGCTGATGAAGATGAATGGTGTGACAATTCGTCCACGCGGTGATAATAACCAGTCCACAAGTGAATTATTGTATGGAGCGATTATGCTTACACATAATTAATTAAATAATAATTCGAATGAATTGACAAAATTCTATTACACTACGGTGCGGTGCGAACACAAAAGAAAGAGTAAAGGCCCCACTATACCATTCCATAAGACCTTAACCGATTCGGCACATGCATAAAAAGAGTTGCGATAAGGTTATCACATTAACTTTTTTTTTATGGATAAGGGTCACGAACGAGCACACAGTCCACCTGACGGTAAGTGGATACTGTGACTTTTCCTCAATGACGAATCATAATGCAGATGCGTTGTCACCCGTGAGGACTAAGATGGAATGCCTCGTTTCCAGTAAAAATTGTCTCCGGTTCTCTACACTCGCCATACGAAACGCAGCAACGTCAAGCTGCTATTTTACGATGGTATTCTATGAGAGCGTGGTCCTTCCCCGGTCGAGCCGATTCGTGCTACAACTATACCCGTAACATAGCTGCAGCATGGGTCAACCACATTAACCGATTCAGTGCATATGGCACGTCAGGCGTGCCATCGATTATTTTTCTGTGTGGCGTATGACACCCAAGTCGTCATTTTAAAAATCTTTATAACTCGTTCAAATTGCCTTTTTGGAAGATTTATCCAGAACAAAATATTCATTATTTTGCAATTAATTCATGCCTACACCTTCGTTTCTGGTTATTTTGAGTGAAATTTTTGGGGTTGAAAATCTTTTTTAATTACTTGTAGATGTTACTCTTTTTACTGTGTGCGGCTTTTTAATCATGTTGTGGAAAAATAATAAGTAACAAATAATAGCACTCATTGCGATCGCTCACAAATGGAAAACAAGTACCTATATATCCTGATAAAAAAACAATGCCTTATGTAGTCTTATTGTTTAATTTTGCTTAAAACTGTTGAATTGCCGTCTTATAACTATCATATGGCCGAATGGTCCTACGATACCATGTTCCCTTTTGATATGGTATAAGGTTTATTATTGCTTGAAACAGTCCGAATGCGTTCATGCATAAAAAAAGTTCGCTAATAAATTTAATTTTTATTTTTATTTTTATAGGATGAGGGTGACAAACGAGCACACAGTCCACCTGATGGTAAGTGGTTGCTGCGGCCCATAGACATCTACATCTATCCTCTGTTACAAATCAAAATGTAGATGCGTTGTCACCCGTGAGGACTAAGATGGAATGCCTCATTTCCAGTAAAAAGGGCCTCCGGCCACCTGCACTCACCAAGCGAAACGCAGAGGTAAACCTCTACTTCAGGCTGGTTTTCTGTGAGGTCGTGGTACTACCCCGGTTCGAGCCGGCCCATCCGTGCGACAGCAAAAGCTGCCGCGTGGCTCTACCACTTGTTAATATTTACAAACGTCATTATTTCCGTTGCCCGTGTAGTGGCGGGTAAGAATACCCAATACCCCATATCTTGCCGTGGGTGTCGTAAGAGGCGACATAGGGAAACTGAGGCAGAAGATGGGCAGCAGCATATTTCTGATAACAGCAAAATAACTTAAAAAAACTGCGGTTGCGCCAACCCGCTCGCCAAGCGTAGCATTTATTAACGTGAAATGGAATGGTGAATTTCTTTAATAATATAGAAATTAGGTGAAATGTGGGTTGCACAGATTTATTTAATTAATCTTCAAGATCCTTTAGCACACTGTCAATATACCGGGACAATTTAATCATTGGATTGACAACTACATGCAGACGACAACAATTACAGTAATGAGGACGCCTTGTCCGAGAATGTTCATGTAGCCAAGTGTTAGAAGATTCGCTACATTCGGTATTTATTTTCGTAGCAAATCTAGTAACACTATGCCATGGTTCAATCAAAATTCTATGCTCATTCGTATACAACTGATTTTCTAAAAGACGATGAGATTTTCTTTTACAATAGTTTCTTTTCTGTTGCTGACTGTTTTTCGATTTGCTTTTCTGTTTTCGCCGTATCTGTGAAATAATTATTGTCTACATTGTATTAATGGACATTTTATGTAGGTAGTGCCTCTCCCCTGAACGCGGCTTAATCTCCTGGTTAGCAGACATGATTCTGGTACATATATCATTCATTGGATTGTTATTATTAAAAATTGTATAATATACAATTTTTAATAATAACAATCCAATGAATATTATTAAAAATTGTATATTTATATAAATATCATATCAAAATATCAAAATCAGATACTTATATTGTAAAATAAAGCAAAGCTAACTGTTAATTACATTTTTATACTATTAAGGGTAACAAACGAGGATAAAAATTGCACTCATAAGTGGACACTGACTTACAGATGTTTACAGCTTGTCTTCAAATCAAAATACAAATGTGTTGTCACATCCGAGGAATAACGCTCTTGGCACTCACCTCGTAAGTAGTAGTGAAATGCAGCAACATTATTCTGCGAGAGCCTTTCCCGGTTGATCCATTGGTGCTGCATCCATAACACAATCTCCAGTAGGTATAAGGTATAAGATAAGTAATATATATATCTATTAACAATACTAAAGCGTGTTTCTACTATATACCATTCTATTATTCATTACAGCATAACAAAATCTCGCTCTGGAGCATTAATAATCTATACATATAATAAAAATGTAAATAGCAGACTACTGTACATTTTATATTTTTGTAATAAAGGTGATTTAGGGGTACTAAAAATAAGTAATTAAATACATTTCTACCATTTTTAGAATTTTCTGTCTGTCTGTCTGTTTGTTTGTTAACGTATCACGTATAAAGTACTAATTTCTATCATAACAATCGTTAAGGAAATTATAAAGTGTATCTTCGTGTTACATTTAGTCTTTGTTATTTCATTAAAATCAGTTCATTCCATCAAAAGTTATGATAAATATTCTGAAGTATGGGTAGGAAGTGTGAGTACGAATTTGCTGAACGGTGGCTTTGGTTGAGTCATCAAGTGCATTTTAAACTAATATCATATCATAAATCATAATTAAATGATGTAAAATAATGTTCTATAATGATATAATTATGCATATCTAAAACGCAATAAACAAAAGTATTAAAGAACGTATTAAATATATATTATTATTATACAAAAATATATTAACCTTATTAACCAAAAAATCTAAAGTACAATAGTTAACCAATTTCATCGATAGATGGTGGTGTTGTGCAAATGTAATGCAAAAAGGCAGGTTGTGGTTTTTTCCTGTAAATGAGTTTTCATATTTACTGCTAATCTTTATATTACTCGCTGCAGTACTGCGTGTTGACAAACTCAATTTATTCTTTACCGCCGAGTATTCTATGTGGTAAATCAAATTTTAAAAGAGCTATTAACAATTGCGTTGGTTTTGGCGAGGATCAAACTTTCTTTTTTGCTTACTGTGCAGGCACTGATTTATAAGTTCTTTTACGTTTTATATAATGTATCAATCGCGTCAATTAATCTCTTTTATTTTTAGAATTGATGTTAGCAGCGCCATCTCTCTTTAAATATATACATATTATAAAAATTATGATAACATGTTGTGTCTGTTTCTGTACATTGTATATATATTTTGGTGGCTAAAATCATTATATATTATGGGGAACTGAAAATAATGAAATAAGTACATTTTTATAATTTTTAGAATTGTCTGTCTGTCTGTTTGTTTAAGAACGCATCACGGCTAAAGTAAACATCTTTTTTTTTCAAAGAAATCGTTAAGAAAATCATAAAGCGTATCTTCGAGTTACGTTTAATCTTTGTTTTATTAAAATTGGTTAACTCTATCGAAAGTAATGATTATTATGTATTTTGAAATGTAGGTTTGAATTTGTTCAATGGCGCCATAAAATCTCAGAAATAGTAATAAAAAGATTTAAGTATGTGTAAAAAAACCTTCTATAATAATCAATATGTTTATACTTAAAACACAAAAAGAGATGTTTTCCGTTAAAAAAAGGATGTTTTCTCACACAAAGGACGTAATAGATGAAGTTGTAGAAATTACAACCTATTCTGAATTGCGGTGTTGAGATTCTCCGCTGATGAATCGTATTGAGACTTACTGAATAAGTTACAACACAAAGAAACTGTGTAGCAACCGCTATCAGATGCTAACATCTGAAATTTTAATTGTTCGTACAGTACTAACTACTGTTGACAGCAATTGCTATAATTATAAGTCGATGTCCTGCGAAGTATTGATACATCAAAAAAAATTATCAGAAAAAGAACTTAATGTTGTTTTCTTTATTAAGATTATATTTTCTTGAATTATAAATTATAATATGTTAAATAGATATAGCAAATATGTTAAAAATTGGTAAATCCAATTGGGCATGCTTTAAGCGCATTAAAAAAATTACGAATCACATGATTATACGGAATTTTTAAAGTAGTTTAAATACATTTCGACAGCACTATCAGCTTCAACACCCTCGAAAACCATAAAAAGACAGCCATGATGAAAAAATTGGTACCTACTTCAGCCGCCATCTTGGATTTACATTTCGACAGCACTATCGGCTTCAACACCCGCGAAAACCATCAGAATGACACCCATGATGAAAAAAATTATATCTATTGCAGCCGCCATCTTGGATTTACATTTCGACAACCCTATCGGCTTCAACTCTCTCGAAAACCATGAAAATGACACCCATGATGTAAAAATTGGTACCTAATTCAGCCGCCATCTTGGATTTACATTTCGACAGCACTATCGGCTTCAACACCCTCGAAAACTATGAAAATGACACCCATGATGAAAAAATTTATACCTATTGCCACCGCCACATTGGATTTACATTTCGACAGCACTATCGGCTTCAGCACCCTCGAAAACCATGAAAATGATTTAGTACGTACTACTATTATTTATTCTGTGCTTTTAAAATATTGTAATAAAAAAAATCTCTCATTATTATATAATCAAGTATTTAAGAAATTTGGTTATTCGATTATTGTGTATTTGTACAGCGATCTTTTTGAGCCGCTGCAAACAACCGAAACAATGTCCACTCACGACGGCGACTGACACTGAGGCCGAACTGAGTGAGTGAGTAAAGTACTCTGTGGCTGTAGCTCAGAGCGCGGCTTCCGCCTATTTACAGAAATAATTTACGTACAAGGCTACCAAATCAACGAAAATTTCGCCATTTTTGAGCCGAAAAAAATTAATTATAGCTAAACAAAACAAAATTACACTGCCATTCACATTCAGTGGCTTCCCACATGATAGATGAAGAGATTAAAAAATATATTGAGTTAAACAATGGATATTTTCAAAAGTTATAGTGTTTACAAGCCTTGCGGACTTGATAAATCCACACCATAAGCCACTGAAACCCCTTTTTTATTTAAAAATAGCAATTAATCGATTTTAAAAAATATATTAATAAGTTCAACAATCATTTCTCTTTCTAACAATGTGCTTTTTATATCATTTATATGTATAATATGATTGCTAGATACGATTTCATTCGATAAAACGTTGGAATCTTAATTTTAGGCGATAGTAGAACATACCTTGCGCTTTCGCTTAAGGCGTGCAATAAAAAACACAAACTTTGTAGTTAATTTAGCGCAAAATCTAGGGCTTTTTTAAAGCGCTGTTTTCTTGAAATGTGGTGCTTTTTGTGTTGTCCTAGCGCTGAATGAGTTTTTTGATTTGGCAGCACTGCCCAAAATCCTTCTATTAACGAATAACTTTCGTTTCAGTTTTAAAGTGAAAGCGCCAGGGTGGCCCGCGAAATTCTAATTTTCTTACGTTTTTTGGAATTTGCAGGTCAGGGTCAGGTTGTATGTTTAATAAAATATGATTTGTGACCGTAACGAGTATGTGTTTATAAAATTATTATAAATCACCAATACAAACTTTTAAGTTCATATAATCCCTTTGAATGAGTTTTTCTGGAAATAGCCATACAATGGGATTATACGAACATAGACGGTTGTATTGATAATTATAATTATTATAATTCTGTAAATACATATTCGTTACGGTCGCGAATCATATTTTGTTAAACACACAACCTGACACTGACCTACGAATCGCAAAAAACGTTAGAAAATTTGAATTTCGCGGGTTACCCTGGCGCTTTCACCTTAAACGCGTTCAGTTTGCAGTCAGCGTGTGTTATGCGATGACCGTAAATAAAGCGCAAGGTCAAACTTTACGCGTTGTAGGAGTGCACCTCAGTACTGACTGTTTTGCACATGGCCAACTCTATGTTTCTTTTTCCCGCGTTAGTAGGCCCCATAACCTATTTGTGTACACCCCGGCTAAGCCTACTTCTAACGTCGTTTACACAGTAGCTCTATCATAAACGACTTAGAACTTTGAAGATAATGATTTATTTTGTTACCAATTATTGATACAGTCGTTTAATATTCTCTTACCTAAACGACAAATTCTTTAAGTAAAACCTATATACGCGAGCTACGCCGCGGGCACAGCTAGTACAGCATATATCCGGCGCGATTCAACATAATATGCCTCCCTCACCCTCATAGATTAATGTTCTTTTTCTTAAAACACAAAATTGCGCGAGGAAAATTAACAAGTCAATAGTAGTCAAAATACTCTTGAAAAACCCTTTAAAAATAATTTGTTAACCCCATAATTATGTTAATTATGATGATGATAATCAGTTTTCCAAATTACTTACCTACTTAGTATTTTAGATTTATGTCCATATGGGATCAACATACACTACTAAAATCAGAAACGCAATTAGAATTGCCATAATCAGTAAAAAAAAATTACCTTATTTTGGACTGATTTTTGAGTTGCTTTAGAGCTTTTTGATCGGGTATATACGGTGTTTATGTGACTGCTAGCATCCCACTCATCAGTTGCATACTTTATTGGCGAAACGTAGGGCTGCAAAATATCACCTAAAATTTAACCAGTTATAAATACTGGCTGATAATTTAAATTTAATATGTCATCAATATAATCCACCAATTTTAAATTAAAAATACTTCGTAGAACACCACTTATTCTGTCTAGGATTCCTCCAGGATTATTAGAGTAGGTATATTATTATTTCGTCGTCTATTAACTACTTACGGATTCTTCTTCTGGATGCCCTGTAGTGGTGTTTAATAATATACACTACCCCTTATCTTCCCGTAGGTGTCGTATAAGGGGACAGTGGTAAACAGGCTGACGATGGGCATCAGCATCTTCCTAGTAACAGCAATAGTACAATAAAAAATACTGCGGTTGCCAACCCGCTTGCCAAGTATGATAGCTATGGCAAACATTCCCCTATGATGAAAGTTAAAGAAGACACGGCCTCCAGCCCTCGGCGGCTCCGCTATTCCTGGCTACGGTGATGACCATGGTAACTGGTGGTAATGGCCAGAGGATGCTAAGAATCTGCGGTGGAGACTCCGTTGCCACCTAAGATGGCTAGACATGGCAACATACAACGCACGCACCCTGAGGACTGACGAAAAGGTCCTGGAGCTATTATAGGATTATCTGAGGTTCGAAAAGAGAGACACGGTAATTCTCTAATCCAGCAACTTGCTCTATAACCGGGAGGGCGTCCATAAGTCTCTCGTTAACAACGTTGTAAAGATTTTCAGTGTGCCGACGAGAGTTGCATACTTTATACTCAGAATCACAAAAAGGTATTCGTTGAAGGTCATACAGGCTTACGAACCAGACTCGGCACATCTCGGTAAGGTGGTGGAGCAAATGTATGAGGATATCTCTAAAGGCATGCATTCCTCCAAAACCCACTATACGGTGTTAATGGGAGACTTCAACGCAAAACTAGGCACAAGAGAGAACATTGAGTTGAAGGTAGGGAAATTCGAAGAAAGATTGACTCTTAATAATGAACTTTTCTTTTAGAAGCGGTCCTATAGGAAGTGGACCTGGTCGAGCCCCGATGGTTCGACAAAAAATGAGATTGACTTGACCGAGTATAGCAGCATCGTTTCCGGGACACCTGAAATTTTGCGTGAGATTGAAAGGTTCTATGGGCACCTGTACACGTCATCGTTGGAGCCACACGCAAGTGTAAGTAACGATCCAAGAGCAAGTTTTATCCGACCCTATTCTGATGATTTCCCGGATGTCAGTTTCAGCGAGATTAGAATGGCTCTTCAGCACCTTAAAAACGGCAAAGCCCCAGGCCAGAATGGGTTTACAGCGGAGCTTCTGAAAGCGGGTGGAAAACCGGTACTTGAAGTGCTTCAGAAGCTCTAATTCCCTCCTCTATGGTGGGACTAATCCGGAGGCGTGGAGCAAAAGTGCGGTGGTCTTGTTTTTCAAGAAAGGCGACAACGCTCTCTTAAAGAACTAAAGACCTATTTCCCTTCTGAGCCTGTGCTGCTGTTTCGAGTGTGCTGTTTCGAGAGTCATTACGAATCGTCTCGCACGCAGACTTGACGACTTCCAGCCTCCCGAAGAAGCCGGTTTCTCGAAAAGGCTTTAGTACCATAGACCACATACACACCCTTCGGCAAATTGTACAGAAGACAGAAGAGTACAATCTGCCACTTTGCCTTGCATATGTGGACTATGAGAAAGCATTTGATTCCATCGAAATTTTGGCGGTGCTACAGGTGCTACAGTCCCTTCAGCGATGCCAAGTTGACTATCGGTATATCGAAGTGCTGAAGTGTTTGTACAGTAGGGCTACGATGGATATGCGAGTACAGAACTAGAGTACGAAACCTATCCAACTGCAGAGAGGTGTAAGACATGGCGACTTTATATCCCCGAAACTCTTCACCGCTGCATTGGAAGACGTTTTGAAGCTACTGGGCTGGAAAGGATACGGTATTAACATCAATGGCGAGTACATCACTCACCTTCGATTTGCCGACGATATAGTCCTTATGGCAGAATCGCTGGAGGACCTAAGCACTATGCTCCTAATAGTATCTCCCAACGGATAGGTCTTAAGATGTACATGGACAAAAAAAAGATTGTGTAATGTCCATGTCACACCTATGCCGGCAGTTGTTTGGTAGCTTAGTGAAGCTCGAAGTTGTTGACGAGTATGTTTACCTGGGACAAATAGTCTAACTTGGATTCAACTCGGCTGGGTAGCGTTCGGGAAATTACGGCACATCTTCTCGTCAGGTTTCCTTCAAAACCAGAAAACAAGATTGTACAACCAGTACGTGTTGCCGGTGGTGACTTATGGATCTAAGACGTGGTCCTGCTGGCCATATCAGGACGCTCAACGTCGCTCAGCGAGCTATGGAGAGGGCTATGCTAGGGATTTGTTTTCGTGATGAACTTAGAAATGAGGATATCCGCAGTAGAACCAGAGTGACCGACATAGCCCAACGGATTAGTAAGCTAAAGTGGCAATGGGCCCGCCATATAGCTCGAATAATTGACAACCGATGGGAAAAAAGTTTCAAGTGGCAGCCTCGTACCGGTAGGTGAAGTGTAGGGCGACCCCTTACTAGATGGAGTAACGATCTAGTAAGACATGCAGGATGTCTCTCACAAAAAACCAGCGTAAAATAGCAGCTTAACGCTGCTGTGTTTCGTATGGTGAGTGTAGAAAACCGGAGATCTATACTGGAAAAGAGGCATTCCATCTTAGTCCTCACGGGTGACGACGCATCTGCATTTTGATTCTTTATTGAGGATAAATGTGGATGTCTATGGGTCACAGCAACCACTTACCATCAGGTGGACTGTGTGCTCGTTTGTCACCCTATCCTATAAAAAAATGTTGATGGATGCAGGTGGTTTAGGACCGTACTTTGTGGCATTCCTTGGGGGAGGTCTATGTTCAGCAGTGGACTTTTGAAGGGCTGTAATGATGACGATGGATTCTTCTTCAACAGTATTTTATATCATTTTCGTGCTTATAAGTGCAATAACTTGAAAACTATTTTACTATTCTATTAAATGTAATAAATTATAATTCTCAGGTGAATTCTTTCAACGGTACCTATTTTACTTGACTAGACATACACGTACATATCTTATTTTGTTATCTACTTAAAGCTGTTATGATATAAAGATTTAATTTATAATATTGCTGTCTCTTTTAAGTTTTACCTGATACACTGCCTTGTAAAATAAAAATAAAGAATCCTTAGGAGTCGCGAAATCTTCGTTATATAGGTGTCCACGAATTGGAACGATCTCCCGTAATTGTAACTCAGTATCATCATACTGAATACTGAGTTTTTCAGATCATTTTGAGATAGAACAAAGAATGGACATACTTCGAACCTCAAAGGAATTCCGGTATTTAAATGTTACCGCCTAACCAGTGCTAAGCTACGCATTGGAAACTTAACCAATAGGTTCGTAGCTGGGCGCTTGCCTTAAATTCCATAGCAGGTAATTCATAACCAAAAGTTATCGTCTTTTCTACCGACTTCAAAAAGAAGACGGTACTCAATTCGACTGTATGATTTTTTATGTGGGTTACCTCATAACTTTTTACTGGGTGAACCGATTTCGATGATTCTTCTTTTATTTGAAAGCTGGTACTTTACATGTGGTCCCGTGTAAATTTGATTAATGTCTGGCCAATAGTTTTTGAGTTATTCCTAATAATGATTTCTTATATTTACGCGAACACTACACATTGAATAAAACTACTTTTAAGGATTTTATTGCGTTTAATATACTTATTTTTCTTATTTTTATTAATTCCCAACGTTTCGGGTGCTTTCTAGCACCCATAGTCACGGGGGACTGAGGTGATTGACGTCTCGATGTCAGAGTTAACCCGGAGTATCTTCAGCTTTTTAATTATTAATTTTGGTCCATTTGGGCATTTTTACAACATCTTAATTCCATAAACTCTAAAATTCAATTTACTATGGAGTTAGAGACAAATAATTCTTTAGCTTTCCTAGATGTGTTAGTCATTCGAAATCCTAATAACACCATACGTCACACTGTGTATAGAAAAAAGACCTGTGGCGGTGCTGTCGTCGCACCACAAGCGAAACATATCGAAGCCTAAATCACGCTAACAAAGTTCCAAAATTGAAGCAGCATATATAGAATAGCTCTAGAATAGCGAACTACCAATCGGAGCGCTGGCCGCTCCCCGGGCAGAACACCTTGCCCGGCGGGAGATCACACCTTTTCCTTCCACCCACCACAGTGGTGACCAACCGACGTGATATGAACACGCAACCAATAACCTTCGGAAAATACAACTTCAAAAACCTTTGTCATCGTCCTCAAGTACCCCATTCATTCGCTCCCGAGCAGATATTGTCTGCAGTCTTCCCATTCTGCAAGCCATCTAGCTTTACAAAGGTTCATCGCAGCACTGGAATAATAATGCTTCCTGTTCCTTCAAGCTTCTCTCTGCACTACAGTGTTCGGCACGGCTCTGAGCGTTACTGCTCGCCTCTGCTTCACGGCACTCTCGCAGATTACTTGCCTTCTTCTCGACTCACCGCAGACTACAAGGCAATCCCCTGGCACTTGCTCCGGCTCATCGTTCTCACCGGCATCTCTTGCAAGTACGTAGTATGGCAAGCATTACACACCGGCATATCGTTCGCACCGGCGTCACTTGCCTTTACGCACACAGCATGCATTCCCCACCGGCATTAAGGACGCACCGGCAATCGGACTGCACTATTGACCTCCGGTCTGAGCAGGGGGGTGATGTGGCGGCGCTGTCGTCGCACCACAAGCGAAACATATCGAAGCCTAAATCACGCTAACAAAGTTCCAAAATTGAAGCAGCATATATAGAATATCTCCGAACTACCAATCGGAGCGCTGGCCGCTCCCCGGGCAGAACATCTTGCCCGGCGGGAGATCTCCCCTTTTCCTTTCACCCGCCACAGACCCATACAAACCGATATTTAAACGGTGAATCCCACCATCATCCTTCACAGTTAGCTACCGTGGGCAAATCTTAGTTACAGAGAGCACGAGGGATCTGTGACAGCAAACACCTGGCTGCCGAGCTTCAGCACTTCAAGCAGTTTCTGCACGACAACAAGCTTCGGGTCCCGCGCCTACGTCACTGTGACCGAGTGAAGCCAGCCACAGTCGAGTGTGTGCCTGCTGTACTACCATATCTCAGAGGTGTCACAGACAAGATTGGCTACATCTTGAAGCGAGCTTCTATCAGAAAATTCTTCAAGCCGCCGAAGAAGATTAGTCAGTTCTTACCATCCGTCATGTGCAATATTCCTCTACAAGATGCAGGAGTGTACAAGCTTGATTGTGAATGTGGTCTCTCATATATAGGGCAAACAAAACGATTAATAAAAACCCGCGTAAAATAACACATAGCTGACGTGAAGCACCAACGTTCCGGTAAGTCTGCAGTTTGTGATCATATCCTAGACGGCCCCGCCATTACATTAGATTTGATAAACCACAAATTCTCGCGAAAGAACATCGATTCCTGCCAAGGATGATACGTGAGGCTATTGAAATTAAAAAAAAATCATCCTAATTTCAATAGAGAGGGAGGCTGGGTACTACCACCTGCTTGGGATCCTGTAATTAATAAAATTTAAAACTAAACCCAAGCATACCACTGCAAGACTTTAAGATACAGTAAGTTCATTCTGCGTAGATCGGACCAATATTAATAATTAAAAAAGCTGAAGGTACTCCGGGTTAACTCTGACATCGGGACGTCAATCACCTCAGTTCCCCGTGACCATGGGTGCTGGAAAGCACCCGAAACGTAGGGAAATAATAAAAATAAGAAAAATAAGTTTATTAAACGCGATAAAATCCGTAAAAGTAGTTTTATTCTTAATAATTTATATTGAAGTCTGTTGTACAAAATTTAAAATTTTATTTATTTTTTATTTAATTTCAAATTATTTTAAGCATCAAAATGAATGGCTGCCAATTAATCGCTTTTAAAAAATTATTAGGTACGATAATAACTAATTCAAACTATACTTACACATTTGATTAAGCCCTTTACAAAGAATATCACAAGCTAACACTGCAGTCATGAATTGAGAACTGCAATCGTAATAGCAGTTACCTGGAAGTAATCACTATTTAGGAAAGTAAGTATTTAACTATGTTTATATAGTAAATAAAAAAATACAGTAATAAACATATTACCATTATTCAGCTGTATTACTTGATATGCAAAAGAGACCAATTTAGACCACATCGCGTGTAAATTGTTGTCATATTCCTTAGTCTTTTCACATGCTATACAATGTTTAACCATTTCGTCACTGCGATCTTCTTTGGTTTTGTCTTCAGTTGACTGTTTTGTTAAATTATCCAAGCATTTTATGTTTTCTTTCATAGTTTCCATTTGTAAATTAATATTTTCAGCGATATTCTTTTTTACCAACTCTAATTCCGCTTTAAGTTCCAAAGTGCTATCTTCTGTTTCTTTTCCTACGATATTTGTATCGCATTCTTCACTATTGGTTATGATAGCTTTAATATCGTCGTAAATTTCATCATAATACAAAGGGTTTTCAAAAGGAATTCTGTATGTTTTATCTGAGTTTACAATAGTGACGTCGGATTCGTTGATATCGCAAAAGTCTTCTAGGAAATCGTCGGTGCTAGCGCTTAATGGTGTTCTGGGATCATTAAAAATGCTTTTTTGTAAGCGAGATTCGCTGTGGCATGGACTGAATTGGTTACAAAGTTTTCGTCTCGCACGTCGCTCCTGCAGTTCCTGGTGTAACATTTTCTCCTGGCTGGACCTATCTTTTAACATTTGAGCTGCCTGTAGTTGATTCTTTTCCAAAGATTTATATTGTTCATACAAGTACCAAGATCGAACTCTCTTGGCCTTTTTAATTGGATCTGAATCTAAAAATGTATATAAAGTAGGTTTAAAGTTCACAATGTTTATAAAATTATAATAAACTTGATATAATCAAAATTTTACAAATATTTTAAAACGATAAAGTAAAATCTTAGCTGTAAATATAATTTTATTTTTATTGTTTAACAAGGAACATTGTAGAATCTTTCAGCTAATCCTAGTTTAATAATCGTCAGTCAAATACCAATGAAATTCAAGTGAACCGTTTATTACAAGGCCCAAGTAGATACAATCAGTAAGAACATCCAATTTCCATTATTATCTGCTTACTGTGCGTATGTTTTACTATTAGTCCTAGCTTTATTATTTTGTTACGCAATAAATTCAAAATTAATACACTTACGACGTATATCTACGATATCCATCAAAATATTTCTTGTTGCAAAGGGGAAAAATTTTGTTTCCTAAATACTTTCTTCGCACAAAGATTTATCGAATTACATTAAAAGACTTTAATTTAGTACAGATGCTTATTTCGAAATATAGTAAACGAATTTTTCGTAAAAATTTGACCCTGTTTTGCCAGAAGGTGAGTAGCTTTTCTTACGAAAAACAAAAAAAATGTATGCCAGCAAACGTATTTATGTCAAATGAGGTCGTATATGCTGCTACAGAAGTAACTGTTTGATACGTTACGTCCATTTCTTTGATAAAAGTTGTTGGATAGCACTATGCCTATATTTATTTATTACATTTTACAGCAGAATATATGCTTAATTACTTTCAAAAGATTTAGCTTAAAGTTTTCTAAAAGAACGAACATATAGGTCGGATACCTACCATTGACCATTGGGGGAAAAACGCTCTTGAGTAGCAAACTCGTGTGTCGACCAGCGTTCTGGGGCAATAAGGCGGTATACCCTAATTATACCATTGAACTATTATGTAGTACATAATATTTCAATGATTAATATATGTAATGATGAAATGAAGAGGTATGTAAACAATCTATGGATTCAAATAGAAGTTGTGATGATCGATTAAATAACATAACATAACATATAAATACATAGATCGATTTGAGTTTTCACAAGGTATTCTTTAATTTCTTAATCTTAATAATTATATGCCTACCTTCACGATTCAGCAGAAATTCGGAGTAGCATAGTTTTATTAAAGAAAACCGTACATGTACATATCATCACAAGTCCGCTGATAGGATTCCCACAAGAAATACCACAAAGCACGGTCCCGAGCCACCTACATTCATTGACTTTCTGCATGTCTTGCCAGGTCGTCAGTCCATATAATAGTTAGTTACGAAACCTCAACGTATTACAGAAACACACATGGTCTGATTACTTTACTTGATAGCAGGACTACTTTGCATTCTTCAAGTCAGAATCTAAGTAAATGACGATAACCTTAATTTTATTATTCCAAGATTTAGTGACGAATTTGTTACAATTAACTAACAAAGGAAAAAAATCTAATTCGAGATACAAGATCACCTTTACATCGTACGGCTACCCTGCCCACTTATAGTCAGTTCACTAAGGTAGTGTCGGTACACTCGGAGGCGCACCTATTATTTTGCATTTATTGCAAACCTTAAGCGAAAGCGCAAGGTATGTTCTACTATCGTCTAAAAATTAAGATTCCAACGTTTTATCGAATAAAATCGTATCTAGCAATCATATTATACATATAAATGATATAAAAAGCACATTGTTAGAAAGATAAATGATTGTTGAACTTATTAATATTTTTTTAAATCGATTAATTGCTATTTTTAAATAAAAAAAGGGGTTTTAGTGGCTTATGGTGTTAATTTATCATGTCCCCAAGGCTTGTAAACACAATAACTTTTGAAAATATCAATTGTTAAACTCAATCTATTTTTTAATCTCTTCATCTATCATGTGGGAAGCCACTGAATGTAAATGGCAGTGTAATTTTGTATTGTTTAGCTATAATTAATTTTTTTCTGCTCTAAAATGGCGAAATTTTCTTTGATTTGGTTGCCTTGTATGTAAATTATTTCTGTAAATGGGGAGCTACAGCCACAGAGTAGTTTAGTTCGGCTCACAGAGTACCTTTATATATACTGAAAGTTCGGCTTCAGTCGCGTCGTGAGTCTCCAGTATTATATATTAGTCTATGGTCGTGAGTGGACATTGTTTCGGTTGTTTGCAGCGGCTCAAAACGATCGCTGTACAAATACACAATATTCGAATAACCAAATTTCTTAAATACTTGATTATGTATAATAATAATAATAAGAGATTTTTTATTACAATATTTTAAAAGGACAGAATAAATAATAGTAGTACGTACTAAAAGTAAGTAGTATAATTTTTTTTGTCATGGGTGACATTTTCATGGTTTTCGAGGGTGTTGAAACCGATAGGGTTGCCGAAATGTAAATCCAAGATGGCGGCCGCAATAGGTATAAATTTTTTCATCATGGGTTTCATTTTCTTGGTTTTCGAGGGTGTTAAAGCCGATTGTGCCGTCGAAATGTAAATCCAAGATGGCGGCTGCAATAGATATCAATTTTTTCATCATGGGTGTCATTTTCATGGTTTTCGAGAGAGTTGAAGCCGATAGGGTTGTCGAAATGTAAATCCAGGATGGCGGCTGAATTAGGTACCAATTGTTTCATCATGGGTGTTATTTTCATGGTTTTCGAGGGCGTTGAAGCCGATAGTGCTGTCGAAATGTAAATCCAAGATGGCGGCTGCAATAGATATCAATTTTTTCACCATGAGTGACATTTTCATGGTTTTAGAGAGTGTTGAAGCCGATAGTGCTGTCGAAATGTATTAAAATTACTTTAAAAATTCCGTATAATCGTGTTATACTTACGTAATTTTTTTAATGCGCTTAAGGTGCCCAATTGTATTTACCAATATATTTTATTATTTTTTACTGTGATTGTTAAATATTTGTGTTTTTCTATTTTAAGAATAAAATAGAATACTATTTTACTCCTATGGTTATCGTCATAAAATACGAATATAAATAATAAACGTAAGTAAGGTAGCAAAGAACCTTTCACTACGGCGCTTCGTTTTAAAATGCCAAATTCTTCTGCATCTGCTTCTGGTGTATAAGTACCGCGCATTACGCGGCGACCTTTTACGTCGCGTCAGCGCCTTTAAAATGTTACGCCACGTAATGACGCGGTACGTGCCAAGGCGGCGCGACACAAAAGCTGAACGCACATTTGTCCGCACCGTACGCATCGTATGCGACGAGTTTTACTGATGGCCTCGCACATTTACACGTACGCATCGTCCGCGCCGTACGCAAATCTTTTGTATTGCCAACAACTTTTGCAGTTTTTTCCAACCACTGGTGTGAAACGGTACAGTGAAATTGATCGCTCGAAATCACTATGGAAAGAAATATAATAATAGCCTCCTTATTGGCAGAGGAAGAAGAAAATAAAATTTGAAGAAAAAGATAGAATCATCTTTTTCTTAAAAAATAAATAATTTATCATTAAGTATTCATATTATTAATCGATGCAAAAAGAAAATCAAATTATATACAATTAATTACGAATTGATTAGGTAAAAGTTATAAAAATACAAAAATTAGTCGAAACCACCAGTTATAGTGGAAAATCCACTAAGTTGGCAACATTAGACAACATTGAGTATCAGCACGCGCCGAACGCGTCGCGTTATATGACGTCATCAGCATGCGTCCTTCAATATTCGGATGCCTACCGCATTTTATAAAAGTCGGCGCGTATGGTGCGGGTGTAATATGCGAGGTTTCATATGATGGCATACAACGAATTCTAAAATTCGGCGCGTACGGCGCGGACAAATGTGCGTTCAGTTAAAGGCGACCATATTATCTAAGCGAACAGACTAGGCATATGCGACGGGTCCGTGCGAGAGTTACTTGGCGCGTGATCCCGTGCGCTGTCTTGTTTCATACAAATAAATGAGCACCGCTACGTAACGTGGGTGCTGGAAGCGCCGTGAAAGTATAATAAAATATTTCAGAGTAACTTATTATTGATAAGTCTTAAAAGAAGTCATATGCTATATCCTATACAACGATCCGATTATTACACGTATGGAACTACTCGCAGGAACTAAGCTAGCCAAACAATTCAAACCAACATCCTGTCCCATACAAGTCCTTAGAATTTTTGCTTACACTCGTTTGGGGCCTCTGTAGCCCGGGGGCCCCGGTATCATTGATACGGCTGATACGGCGGTAGCTACGCCCCTGCTACAAACAAAAAGTTTGCAATGTGTGCACGACTGTACCGGTATTGAAAAAATAATAACACTTTAGGTTACATGGTAACATTATTTAATCTGTGGTTTAGGTCAGGTTTCCACTAAGTTATGATTGACATAATATTAAAACTTATTTTTAAAACTGTTAGTTTTAAAAATAAGTTTTACTAATTAGTTAGTTAAACAGAGAAAAACTTGGGCATTCTAGTGTTATTCTATTGTATAAAATCTTGAAGTCATATTCCTCCTTAAAGCATATGAATATTCAGATTCCGTTTAAGCAATACGTTTCAAATTCGATATATGAGACACCAATAAGTCACTTAATATTGAAATAGGAATTATATCTTCTCTCAAAAACTGTTTTTGAAGGAGGCTGCTAAATTAAATTCGGCGTGGATCCTTCCAAACGCTGTGTTGATTCGCGCTTAAGGTCCTAATGTCATTTGCAGTGCATCCATCTATACGTGCGTAAGCGTGCGTGCGTTCATGCGTTCATGCGTGGGTGCGTGCGCGATTGCGTGCGTACGTGCGTGCGTCGTGCATGCGGGCAGGCGGGCTCGAGCTTGTGCTTGCGTGCATGCGTGCGTGCGTGCGTACGTTCATGCGTACATGCGTGCATGCGTTCGTTCATGCGTGCGTACATGCGTGCGTGCGTACGTACGTGCGTGCATGCGTGCTTGCGTGCGTGCGTGAGTGCGTGTGTGTGTAGACAAGATCCTGTGTATTTTATTATATAGATTACAACCCTGATAGCTGAAGAAACGATGTGCAAAACTTGTTTTAAACAATTTTTTTGGGGTTATTCCGTTTATCCACGCTAAGAAATCCACCTTAGGGTGTATACTCGGATACGCGTGTTCGTTTATCCACCCTAGACGGGGTGGATAGCTGAATTCACTTTTTTGATTGTTGTTCCGGCTTTCCACCCCAAGTACAGTTCAACAGAAAATATATTCATACTAATAATATATTTAAATTTATAATAATATTTAATAAATTAAATAATTTAATTATTTATTTAAACACTACAAACTTAAACAAAAGTCATATTACGTATTGCATTTAAACCAAATTAAACTTCCTCGTTTTAAAAAATAATAAGTAATTTATAAATTCTGAGTAGTGTAGTTGTACCACTTCTGGACCACCTGAGTCAGTAGCGATCCGGTAAGGGCCTCCACCGTCATTAGCGTCCCATTGTTCCTATTTCTATTGTTCTATTGTTCATTAATCACCTTCATTGCAGCGTGTGCGTCGACTATATCAGTGCTATTGTATTATACTTCTTTGTTCCTAATTATACAACGCTAATCTGAATCATCAATAAAACACATTACATAATTTTGTTACAATTTTTATTTATAAAATACAAAATCTTATTACTTATTATCTATAAAATAGGAGCGAAACATCTCATCCACTAAAATATCGTTGTACAATGTGTTCCTTGTAAATATACTCGTAAAACTATGTATTGAACATCCCTGAAACTTATATAGCAAATACATTAAGCAATATTCGCCACAAACTGAAGTCCACTCATTCTGAATCCTATCAACATTCCAGTTCCATCTTTTACAATTCCTTTTTAAAAACTCTAGATGATATCGTACAGGTGATCGTCCATATGAATCAAAATATTGACCGACGTCATTCGTATCGATATATAAAGCTACCCAATGTGACCCTGGTTTATCATCTGTATCCAAATTACATATTATATACGTTGGTACGTGGGTATACACAGTAGTCTATTAGCTGCATAAACATTATTTTCTAGACTGGGGTGAATCTTTTTCAGATGTTGTTGTACATCTAGTGTATCCATGATATTACTGCTATTAGTAGATTATTACAGTACCAATCTACTCAATGAATAACATAGGAATGGTCAATTATAGTGATTTCTAAATATTAAATTGCATTTTTGTGTTATACAAATCGTACTTGAGTCATTGATCACCAAACAAAACACAATACGAAGAAATGTTGAGATAGGCAACGGAAATGTGAGATAAACTGGTTGACGCATAAAGTAATTATCAACTCATTACGGAAATACTTTAGATTAGAATTTTTACGTACTGGTGGTATATAAGACCAACAGACGCAGTCATCGAGTTAGTGTATAGTCGTTTGACTGCAGTGGATCTATCAATAGTACATTTGTGTTACTTCAATGCACCAAAGGCTATGGATGTAAGTGTTTATTCTATTGACTAAATTACTTTTTTTCTGTTATTTTCATGCGTGTGTATTATTTTATTTAAATATTGTGTATGTATATGATTAAGCCGTGGTAACTCAGATGGTTAGCATAGGCTGTAACTTTAACTTTTTTAACTTTTATGATTAAGTGTTAACAAATTGATATTAACATGATAACTGTGTTGTTGCAGAAATCATTGAGCTTCGATGAAAATACCTATAAACAGTGTGTTATTAATAATAACACATGCGATGGTGGAAAAAGAAAATCGCAATCGATTGATCATTTTTTTTGAAGCTGAATCAAAAATAAAAAGAGGAAGCTGTTATCATCAACCGTAGCACGAGCCGCTAGAGATGGTGTATCATACATTTCTACTAATTCTGACGACGGAGACCAAGCGACGCATCTCATCAAAATTGAAATGTATCGTACATTTATTATGAGTATCGTATATGTATTACGAACACTGAACTGTTACTTACTCTGCTATCTATTTTCTTCTTTACTATAAGGATGGAAAACTTCAGTGAAGTGTGCACCAGTGCTTTTTTCTCCACAATCATGGAAGAGAATACGGAACTATTCAATAGCGAATTAAATCAGGAGTTGTCTAAAGTTTGTGAAGAAATGGAGAGGGGTCAACTGTTCGATTCGTCATACGATGATGAGTTGTATCATCACTGTGCGATGGTTGAAACACAGTTTAAGTATGTAAAATAAACATTCATTTCGATCATAATTTACATATTGTCTTATACAGTTTTTAATAAATTTAAACATTTTAGCAGTCAACCACTACAACTTGGAAGAGGAACGAAGCGAACGTGCAGCAAAGAATCCAAGATCATCAAAAAACCAACAACGGAAGCAGAAGCGCATACCTCTGCAGGGAACAGTATCAGTAACGATGATCAAGTGGAATGTCCAACGTGCCATATATTTATCAAGAAACGGTATTTAGCTAATCATTTTAAAAGTAATGTTCATAAAAATAATCTTTTAAATTCACATAATTCTTTATCAAACGTTAGTGTTATTGAATCTGCTTTTGGAAATAGGATTTTAACTTATAAAATCAAGAGTAGAGTAGATCGTTCGACATGGGTAAATTTTGAAACTCCTGAACTATTTTTAAATTCTATTAAAGATGATATTTTATTTTTATTACAAGAGTGTATTCATCAACACATAATTTTTAAGGTAAACTTCATATTGCATGCTGATTTTGTTCAACAAACTAAAGATATTCATGATACGTTCGATTTTCAAACGCTTAACTATATTATTTGTCAAGGAGATGACTTAAATATTTTTCTTTCATCTTTAAATGATACAATTACTACTAAAATTAGTGCTTTCGAAAAAAAAGATAGTGGATGGAGTCTAAAAAACATAAAATCTATAGACATGAATGTTAATAAATTTAACCCCCTACGCGGTACTTCATACATAGATCTTCCTCGTGACATAAAATTAAAAAAGGCTGTTATAAATGTAAAAAACAAGGGTTATTTTTGTTTTAAATGGGCGTTACTCTTGGCGTTATATCCCGTAAACAAACACACCGATCGGGTATCATCGTACGTTAAACATGCAAATAAACTTAAATTTGATGGTATTTCCTTTCCGGTTAAAATTTCTGACATAGCAAAAGTAGAGAAATTAAATGATATTAGTATTAATGTTTTTGGGTTAGAATATAATAAAGAAAAACGATGTAATTCTATAGTAGGTCCATTATTTTTAACAAAGTGTCGTAAAGATAGACATATCAATTTATTATTTTTTTCCAAGGATACAAAAAATCATTATTGCTA